ACTTAATGACCCAACAACAATAATCACAATGGATTCGTTTCAATAGTGTACCTATACTACAACACACACACACACACACACACGTGTACATATATTAATTAATTATTACAATTTGTTAATCAAATATAAAAACATTGTATATTATTAATATCAATATCGTCGTCGGGTAATTTTATTATTTCATATTTGGGGAAACGTCACAGTTATGCTGTGTGCGGGTACATTATAATAACAGAATTCGAAACTAAATCAACAATCTTATAGACAGTTAACGATAGTCCGCATTACGGTTTTGCACCCGGTCGCGGCATTTCGGGTTTCCGTCCGTTGGGTTGGTGGACCGTCTGCGGACGATTTGTCTCTGGATCCACACCAACCGGAACTGATGTGGTAGTTTTATTATCTGGGTTCGAAAAATCGAACTCGGTTTCGCATGTTTGTGTTTGCGTTTAATATTACGTTAACATAACGGAACGTCAAAATCGAAATTAGTGAATAGCGGCACAACAAGATGCGTGTCGGTGTGTTCGGTAGCGGTGCAGACGTGTGTGATTCATAACACACTGAACAATGAATTTTCTACGATTATCATCTATATTCTAGATCAGCGGTTCTTAACCGTTAACTAGATCACGGACCGCTGATGAAAGATAATTAAGATTTTTTTTTTTTTTCTACAAAACATCTCATGTTATCATAACCAAAATTATAATATTCAAACGCCGTGCCACGCCACTACGCGAGCAACCCACTCTCCCACTCCACATAAACTAAAACGTTGTTGAATATCTCGTCAACGGGACGACGGAAATCAAAAATTTCAACACCAAAATTTATTTAAAATATTACTCTGTTTATTTGTTGTGTTTTTAATATTTGTTCAACGTTCCCGTTTGAGAATTTCAAAAGTTAACACCTAAATCCATCCTTCCCCCCATCGAAAAAAAAAATAAAATAAAATTTAATAAAACAAATTTACAAATTGTTCTAGGTGTTTATAAATTAAGAGACTTTTGTGTCAAACGTTTTTCTCTGTTTTGAATAATTACAGGAGAAAACTGCGCTGTGACATAAAATTCTGATCACTCTGTACATTATATATGAAAAAAAAAAAATAATAATTCAACAATATCGTGGTAATAACGCACTCGTGTCACGTGTCGATACTTGTTTTGTGTTAAGGCCGGCGTGGACCCGCGATGTGCGTACCGTGGACGTCCAGGGGACACTAGACAGTGCGGGTCATCGGGCACATCCCGTAATAAATCGGTGGCGACGATAACTCATTACACTCGTCTACATTACGTACGTCGTCGAATTGGCGGCGACCGGTGTCAATCAGTTATTTATAACATATTCACTGCATAACAGGGGCGTCATTCCGGTATTTTTTTGTGATATGCGAGGTGTCGAGCAGGCCGGGCCACATAAATATATACATCTATAGGTACATATGTATACACCATACTGTTTTTAATTGTTTCGATAGATTACGAGTCGCAATAATCATAAATAGTAAAAAGCTATTTGAAGTCCGAAAAATAGTAAATAATTGACACTTTACCTGTGAAAACCAATGATTAATATGTATAAATATGAAATATTGAAGATGTAGAAATGCTATACAAATAAAAGGAGAAAAGCACGCAATACGTGTATATTGTTATGTATAACTTTTGTACGAATGAATGTTCAAAAAAAAAAAAAAAAAAAAATTAATTATATTTATATAAGAGCATATAGGTACTGGCGATTTTTTATGTACATCAAATACATCGGCAGTTTTTTTCAAAATCAATATTATTTGCTTCTACTTTTTCAACATTTAGCACCATAAGATCATTTAGCCGTAAAATTATCGCCCATGAAAGTGCGTAAACGTGATTTTACATTTTTGAGCAACGGAAAAACATTTCATTTGATACCATTGTAATCGGTAAAGTTCAACGTTTTCTTGATAGCAACCCTTAACCGTTTAACCGCAAAGTTATCTAACTTTTGACCGTGAATAAGTTGCTCATCTGTATACGTATTCTGTAGGTATATCAGGTATGTCTAGTAAATAGTAAATACACGACGGATTCATTGTTTTCACAATTACTATTGACAGTAAAATACCGATATTGTTAGTATAAAAATATAATTTAATTTTAATTTTATGAAAAATGGTGCATTATTTAAGCCGGCCAATTGGGACTATTTGAAAAGTAAAGGGCGCGACCGCACATCCCGATCCTCCCCAAATGACGCCCCAGTTACAATATAATGATAATTTTATTGTATACGTCAATTTGCAAACCCCGGAAAACTTTTAAATAACTAATAATTACTAATTTTTATTATATTACATTATTATTATTATAAATACCTAATCATTTTTTATTAGATTTATTTATTAGTATATGTAGGTCAAGTAATTTATTTTTCGTTCCTGTTTTTTGGGGGGTAGGGGGGAGGAGGGTGTTTGAACCTCCAAATCCCCCATGCGTTCGCCCCTGTTGCGGATACTCGGTAAAAATAATTGAATTTAAATTTTGGGGGACGAGGGCCTCCTTGGCTACGTGCCCGCACTTTTCGGACTTCTTTCGAGCGGTTCTTCTACGGGGCGGGGGGATATTGAAATTTTAACCGACTTCGCCCCCCCCCCCCCCGGCTTTATATTGTGCTCCGTTCGTAACCGCCGTCGTCCGGCGGCCCCGCAGAACGCGCTCTCGGGAACGAACGCGCATTAATATTAAACGCAACAATAATCTAATAGAAGACGAACGCGCGCGCGCACGCGGAACAAAAATCAAAAAGACGCGAACGGGACGGCGGGGCGGGCGGCGGGATCGGTTTTCCGCGGCGCCGGAAGACCGGGTCGGCTTTCCCGGGGGCGTGCGCTCTCGCGCGGGCACGCTTGCGGAGGTTCGCGGAACGGCGAGAGGGGTGGAGAGAGGCGAGAGGCGCCCGCCGACGTCCGATCAATACGGATTTTACGGCCCGTCGCCGCCATCCCCGCGGGACGGGCGCGTGCGCGGCGAAACGTTCACGTATTTTATTACGCTCACCACCCCGTACGCGACGACGTCCGAAGCGTCGTCCCCGGCACAATATTGCCGCTGTGTTACGCGTTCTGTGGACGAAAACTAAACACATTTATTTACGTTAATGATAAAATAAACGTGGCCGGCCGACGCGCGTGCGACAGTAATATTTATAAACGAACGTCTACGTCTCGCACGCAGAACAGCGGGCCCGCGTCAATTTTGTTTACTGTTTTTTACTCCGTCTACGGCCGCCGTACGCCACACAACCCGTTTTCCGCGTCCCGTGCGAATATAATTACCGTCAGCGCGTAGGTAAGTATGCACGTATTTTCACCGTACGCACCATGCATATTGCCTGTACAGTACAATACAATGTTATGAAATATTGTACGCGCGCGCCCTCCCCTCCCATCCCTCCCTCCCGCTTTTCTATATATATATATATATATATACATACATACATAGGCGCGTATTTATACGTGTATAACGAGCACAGGCTCGGGTGTAGGATTTTCGTCAACACGAGTACGGCCAGTGTCCGGTGACATTGACGTGTTCGACGTCGGGACGCGGTCGTGGGTGTTTCACCGTGTATCGCGCCCGTTCTTTATTCACGTGTCACCGTGACGGCCGTGGGGTATGCGTAGGCACAGTGGCGCGTCTCCCCGACGCGACATTATCGCCGTCATTGAGGCGGGTTCATCGCGCGCGCCGACGCGTAACCGCCCCGAGCGGTACGCACGGAAATTCCGAATTTATCGCGCTGCGGGTACAAACAGGCGCGACAATCGTATACGGCAAAGGGAGTGTAGCACAATTGTTCGTAAAAGGCTAAGGCCCGCGTGCAGCAGAAGGGAAAGTGGGACTGCCGTTCGTTTCGCAGCCGGCACGTCGCCCGTGGTTAACGCGCAAAACATGCTCGCCATCCCGTCCGCCGCGTACCTACGCGACAATGTAAGCGGCGCGCAGCTTACGACTACGGTGCCTATATCGGGTTTCCGGTAGTTTCTGTATAGCAGTGGCGCGGCAAACGGATTTCGGAGAGACTATAGCCCGTGCGTTTTCACAGCGGCCTGGGCGGCTCGTGACTTATACGATTGTGTACCCACGCACATTACCTACCCGCCTGCAATAATTATTCGGGGAAATTAAAGCGGATAAAACTCTAGAGCCGCACGATATTCGATCGGTATAGTCGCCGTGCGCATACCATCGATATAATATTACAGATAATGCAATTTCGGCGGAACTGCACGTCGTTTTTTAAATAATTTTAACCCGCCCGTGATTTAATCGAATTACTTGGGTACGTATTGTAAACATCTCGACGGGTGTTAATAAACTTAAGAAGGATGCTAAACTGTGCTCACAATAAGCAACTACACGTTGCATCTACAATTTTGTATGCTTATACAAATTTATCGTGACTATTTTAACATTAGGTACGCATTTTTCGTGCACACTAGGGATGGGCAAAAAACATCGACGTTTCTGGGCGATATATCGATGTTGTATTGTTGATTTTTTAGTGTTCGATATATCGAAAGAACACCGAGGTTAAACTTCGATGTTTTTTTTATATAATTTAAAATATTTTGATTATTTTTCTATTGATAATCCAGTGATTAACTGATAACAGATTTTAGATAGAGGAATCACGCTGCTATCACACTGCTTATTATCGTATTATCATAATATTAAACGGTCGAAAACAAAAATCAAATATTAATTATAATATATTGTAATTGATTTTGTCATTTGTCAATCGTCGTCCGTTGATACTTGATAGTTGATACTCGATATTCGTTCGTGCGGTTTGCTAATTGTTTATTATTGTGGTTTGTGATGCGAAATGTTAATTGCGACTTAGGTCTCAACTGATACTTTTAAACGTGATCATTTTTTTGTTAATTCGTTGTGATCAACAATCGTGATTTAACCACTTACGTCTTGGTCACTGTCAATGAAACGATGGGTCGCAGTATAGTATGGAAATATTTTATAAAAAATAATAATGGTACAGCCACTTGTCAATTATGCCAGAAAACATTAAAAACAAGCGGTAAGTAATTTTCTTGTTTACTAATATTTTATAATATAATGATAATCAAGGGAAAAATTATAATAAAAAAATAATTTTTTTTTACAATTTTTTGATTTCCAAACAATAATTTTTAAAATATTTGTTTACAATATATATTTATTATACATTTTTTAACAGCTTTATAATACCAATTACCAACTCATATTAAATAATTTTATCATATAACAAATTATGTATTGTAATTGTTATTACTAACTTGTTAGTAATGGGTAACTGTAATTTTATTTTCAGGCAACACAAGTAATTTAAGTGGACATCTCACTTGTAAACACAGTAGTTTTATGGTTTCAAAAGCTAACTCAACGGCTACACCGAGGCAAGAGTTGGAAACTTCAGATGTTGATGATCCGTCTCTAACATTGTCCTTATTATCGACAGCTTCAACTTCAAATATGTCATTTACAGCTTCTACATCTCATAGTTCTAATATACCATCTACTAATGTAGTTCCATCTTCCAATATAGACACAGCATTCAAACGTCAAAAAATAAATGAGTCATTTTCACAAATTGTGTCTTATCAATATGGAGGTTTTAAAAGTGCAAAATTAATAAATGCAATATTGTATATGATTGCAAAAGACAATCAGCCATTATCAATAGTAAAAAATAAAGGATTTATCAATTTAATGAACATTACTTCACCAAATTTTAAAATTCCTTCTAAAAGGATATTTCCAGATTTCTAGAAGGAAAATATAAATCATTTAAAGATTTGTTTAAAAATGAACTAAATAAAGTGAAATAAATATCACTAACAATAGATATATGTACCGATATACAAACTCAAAGTTATCTAGGAGTTACTGTACATTTTGAAAAAAATAGCAAGTTGGCTTCTGGATTATTAGGTGTGATATATCTCCAAGAAAGACACACATCTCTGTATATTGCTGATACATTAAATAAGGTATGTAAACAATGGGACATTTCTTTAGAAAACATAACTGCAATTGTTACTGATGGAGCTGCAAACTTAACTAAAGCTGTTGATTTATTGTTTGGAAATCCCAATAACAAACGTCACATACCATGCTTCGCCTACACACTACACTTGGTAGCTCAAAATGCTATCTCCAGTGTCACGGATTTAAGTTTACTTATTAATAACGTAAAATCAATTATAACATGGTTTAAACACTCAGAAGTAGCCAGTGATGAACTAAGAAAAGTTTCCAATAGTAAACTTATTCAAGAAGTTCCAACCATATGGAATTGTACATTTTATATGCTTGAACGATTTATTGCTCTATGTCCATTCATAAATGATATTGTAAATCGTAATATCTCAGCTCCTACAATGGTTTGTGCTAAGGATATTGAAGAAATGACAGAAATAATTGCTGTTTTAAGGCCATTGGAAGCAGCCACAAAAGAATTATGTAGTGAACAATATGTTTCGAGTAGTATGGTTATACCAATTGTGCACATATTACAAACAAAAATTGATGAGGCAACATCAACTCAAATTCTTAGCACTCAACTAAAAAATGCATTAAAATTAGAGTGTTCAAAGCGACTAGGACAAATAGAAAATGTTTCATTTTTCGCAATTTCTACAATATTAGATCCTAGATTCAAAAAAATGTATTTTAAAAATTCAGGCCCATTATCTAAAATGTTAACCAAAATATCAGAAGAAATCAAGTCCTATCAAATAACATCTGAAAGTTCTTCTGATTCATCTCGTGAGTAGTAAAAAATATTACCTGTTATGTAGGTAATTTATTTATTAAAATATATTATTAATTTTCAGAAAATAAAGAATATAGTCTATGGAATAACGACGAAAAAATTATTCAACAAAGTAGCCATAGTCGTGAGCGAGCCACAAGAAAAGAAATTGGTTATCCATCTGAACTTAATTTATATTTGAAAAGTGCTGTAGGTAGGTTGACAGACAACCAGTTATTTCTATGGAATGATATGTCCACGGTTTATCCAATTCTGTCCAAAGTAGCTTTAAAATATTTAAGCACAGTAGCTACTTCGGTACCTAGTGAAAGACTTTTCTCCAAAGCAGGTTTGATAATGAGTCAACAAAGAAGCCGTTTGACTATCAAAAAATTAAATATGCAATTGTTTTTACAATCTGTGGATGAAAGTTTTTGGGAATTGTAATAATTAATTAAATTTGTATTAATTTATTTATATTTTCACATTATTGTTAGTTTTAATTGTATTTTAAGATTTAAAACTTATGTAGGTTAGGTTATATTTAATTGTATTGATTAATTTTACATAACAGTTTTTTATAATTGAAAATTATTTTATATGTATTTAAAAAAATAAAGTTGAACAATGGTATTTTAATTCTTGAATTCATTATTTAATTAAGAAACTAGTACACACTGCACTCTACAGAATACAGATAAAAAAGTATGCATCAGATAGCTCTAAAGGCTAAAGTGGAAAAATTTTTTTCAATATTTTTAAACATCGATGGTTTTGCACCGATACATTGATATTTCAAAAACTGATGATTGTTTATTTATATAAAAAAAAAAATAACAACATACAAATCACATAAATGGTTGCATAAAGATATAATAGTTTTAATATAAAGCGATATAAAGCAATGAGAACGATGATTTCTAGACTGCCTTCGGTGCTTTTAATATATTAATACCTACCCACCTATATTTAGCAAACATTTACCTAATTACCTAAATGTAGTCATATTATTGGGTATAATAAAATAAATTATAATGTGTGTGTGTGTGTGTGTAATAAAGTATCTATGTTAACATTTTACACTTTACAGATAAACTGCGTTAATATTAATATCATGAAGAAAGATAAAAAAAAATCGAAAAGCCGTATCAAAACGCCATCCCCGGATTCGTGTTCGCAAAGCTGTAATAATATGGACTGCATGAGTTTACATCAAATGACACCGTCTTCTCCACCACCAAGTTACGAGCTCAGTTTACAAAAGGTATGCTTAACCAAGAGCCATATAAGTTGTATTATAAATTGTTAAAATTATAGACCCAACTATTAACCTGTTAATAGGCCTATAATTGAAATACTTGTTCAATATCTCAGTAGGTATCTACTTACTAGGTAGGTGTTACATATTATATATATTTTATAGATTCTGAGAGAAGTGATGAATATATTGGTTTTACAATGATGTTTATTTTTTTATTTATGAACCCTTTTCTACCAGACAGCATCTACTCCAATTATCAAGTATAGCATTTTTTCTGAAAGGAAATGTTCTCTGGATGGTACTTTAGAGAGGGTTATTTTTTTGAAATTCTCAGTAATATTTGAGATAATGAGGAAAACCTGGTTCTTTAAGTGTTAAGACAGATTGAAAGATTAAAAATAAGTCTGTCATTAGCAATTGTTTTTATTATTTTAATCTTTTTTAAGCAACCATTGTTGTCATAAAAATGCACAGCACATTATACTTTAATATGACATATATACTGTTGACAAAGCATCACTATTAACTGAACTCTGTTCAGAATCGTTTTTTCCATTAGCAATGATTTATTGTTGCTTACAGATATATATTAAATTCCCTTCTGTATCCTACCTTCTTAACTTCCCATCTACAACAGTGGCTGCACCCAAGTGCTGCAAAGTTGCCCTTACATTTTTTAATTTTGAAATATTATCCTATAATAAAATAGATTTATAAACTATAAAATTCTTAAGTCTATGGTAGGTTTAAACCACAAATTAAGATACATGTATATTTTAATAAGTGTTTGAAACCCATCAATAATCAACATTATATTTTGAACGAAATTGTTAGAAAGATAGCATTTATAATAAACTTTCTATACCTACATATATATGTATATATGTTATTTAATATATTTACTGTTGTATTAATTAATAAGTAATATTATTTTTTTTTTTTTTTAGCCAGGACTGTCTTCTGAACATGGTGGTCATTATGAGGAGAAATATGCAGCTGGAAGTAGTCAGTATCAAGCTTGCAGTTCTAACACCGATTGCCAGAGCACTGGTTCTCCTGTACGACAAGAAATATTTCATAAGAGCAGCAAGGAGTTTTACAAAGCTGTCGCGGCTCAATGGGGCATAACATGTAAAATGAGTGACCACTGCAGATGTTATGAATGCCAGGTGAAATGATGATATCATATTAAATTTTATAAACAAAAATAATTTTTGTTTATAATCCCTGTGATTTTGTATTGTTTACAGAGTCGGTACTTTGATTGCGAATATGACCAGGAAAACGAACAAGAAAAAACAGATGGCGGACTTGGCGCGGGTACACCTATGTTTTTGTCAGAAGTTATGAACGGTTCAACATGCACTTTAATTTAATGTTATATTTTTCACACAATTAGATTTGATATTTATTTTTACAAAATATCAAATCATTACATAATATTAACATAATTAATAATTTTTAAGTGAAAACGCATAACAATATTATACATTTATACATTACCTATTATTATTTTATATTGTTTTGCATAACAATGTGTTTGATTTATATCTCCCAGCGCCTGTATTTTATTATTGTTAAGAATAAAATTCAATTTTATAATCAGGCTATGAATATTATATCACAAAATCCTGTTACATTTTTAAAATTAACCTTCTGACATGTGTTCTTAAATTTTTTTTACATTTATTAAACTATTGTTTTATTTATAAACCTTTATATTATATCATAATCATAAATTATTATAATTATTAAATATAATAATTACTATCTTTTAACAAAATCATTACTACAACATAACAATAATAATGCAATTAATAAACAAATAAATCATTAACTGCTATTATCTTGATATTTATTTGTAATTTATTATTATCTTTATAAAAAAAAGTACTATTAAACACAAAGGTAATCAAATTAATAAACATAAATCAATATTGGTTGAACAAATATATATATATAAAAAATGTTTATTATCTTAATCAATAATTCCTATTAAATTTACAAGTAATTCACAACACATTTTTGTTTTTGTTTTATGAACCAGAATGATGTAAAATACCATGTTTATAAAAAAGTAATAATAATTGTCTTAACAATAATTAACTCATTTTCTAGTACCCGAACATGTATTTTTAAAATTTTTCTTAATTGTATATGTCATATATATCTATTACAGATTATTATAATAATTCATGGAATGAACTTTTATGTATATATATATATACAGTTTCCATATAAAATATACTAGATATATAGGTAATATTTTAATCCTCAATAGAATTTCTTTGCTTGAGACTCTTTATTATTTCTGAAAAAAAAAAGACATAGATTATTCATGTTAAGAACATTTAAACTATTAAATGTTTAAATTATAATTTGTGTTATATAATAATTAAAATCATATATTCTAAATAAGTCCACTATTATTCTTAAGTAGAATTGAAATAATTCTGTGTATAAATTTTATTAATTTTCTAACAAACAAATAATGTATTATAATTTAAAATCAATATCCTTTCATCTCAAAAAAAAATTACAATTTCAACATTTCATTTTCTGTCTGGAGAGGAAACAAATTTCAGATTATTCAATTTTCTAGACAAGAAATTTGTAAATTTTATCCAAATGCAACTAATTACTTCAATAAGTTGCCTGACCCAGAATAAAAATAAAAAAATAAAACCCCATTATAAAATAAAACTAATATTTTTCTAAGAATATAAATAAATAATATTTGAAACTATAAACTTAAAATTATGAAACATATTTTAAATTTGTGGATACTTACTTATAAATAACATAAATAGTGAATAAAAACATTTGAACAACTGCTGTAACTATGACAACCGTACTTGTAGCACAGGAGGGACATACAATTGGCTGTGCATAACTAGGTCTAGATGCAGAGTCTCGTTTCATTGCATTCAATGAGTCTCTTATTTCATGCATAATTGATATCTGGTCATAGCCTAAGGGTTGAACTTGTGCAGTAGGCTGGTGGACTTGATTCTTAATTATAGTATCTGATTTAGAATGAACTTCTACCACATAGTTTCTATAAAATATATAAGTAGTATTTTAATAACGAAATATTTTCGGCATGAAGTAGGCTGGATTTAAAATTTAATTTTTAAGTCTTAGCAATACAAATTACACATATATAGTGGGTGGCATGATAATCTGTCACCTGAAATAACTTTTGTTTTATTTACAAGTTTGGTGAGAAAACTTCAAATAAAAAAAATTAAACATTTAACTATAATTTTTTAAAAAAATTCAAAATAGCCATTTTGTAAAATAGATTTTTAGAAAAATTTTGGGGGTTGAAACATTTGTTAAGGTAAAGTCTTTTGTCTTCCTATACATTTTTGAATTTTGACAAATGTGAATATTATTGTGGTTTATAATTTCTTATAATATTTAATCAAAAGTCAAAGCACATCAAATGACTAGGATCTTTTTTTCCATGAGTTAATATCATATAGTAATACTACTGACTACTGATTAAATATTATAATAAATTATAAACCACAATAATATTCACATTTGCAAAAAATTCAGTAAATTGTAGAAAATAAAAGAGTATACCCAAATAAAAGTTTCAACCATCAACATTTTTCTAAAAGTCTACTTTACAAAATAATAATTTTGAATTTTTTTTTTAAATTTTAATAAAATGTTTAATTTTCTATTCTAATTTCCCCAATCTAAAAGATTGTTTTATATAATATTGAAGTGCAGAGATATACTCATTAGTTAAAAATAAAAAATAGAATAAATGTTATTGCAAATGGCAGATCACGGTGCTTCATATTTTTTAACTTTCAAATTTTTGTTGAAAGACCTCCTCATTTTTTCCGTCATTCTAAGAAAGTAATTTTAGTAAAATTTGGCTATGACTTCACACCCCATTCACATACCTTTGGGGAGTTGAAAAATAGCTCTTTGCCAAAAAATGTATAAATATATCAGTTCTAGAACTTAATTATTTCCAATAAAATATTGGATAATATTAGGAAATATTATTTATAAAAAATATAAATTTATGTCTTACAACTATAAAATTTTAATTTTTTTTTTTTAATAAATTTGACAAATGGCTGGAACATAAAAATCTTTTAAAATTTTATTTCCTGAAAAATAGTTGTAAAAAGTTCATTGGATCCTCTATTTTACACGACTCCGTGATTCAGCTCAGTTCAGTAATACATAATTTGAATTTTTCATTAAAATTTAATTTCAAAACAATTATTAAAAAAAGTCATTCGATCAATTTGGTAATTTCACCAAGATTAGTTAAATCCAATATAAGTATTATTACCAAGTTTCAAGTCTATACGTGTTTTTATAACCGAATTACAGCAAAAAAACTCCTAAAAATTAAATTTTTTTTAAAAGCTCAAAAGTTATGGCAATAATACCGCAAGAAAGTAAATCAAAAAGGTATCTTGTGATTTTACGATTAAATCATTTTTTCTGGTAGAAAATGTCATCCGTATTTTTATAAAATAATGAAATTATTTATTATTAAATAGTGAAATTTTACAATTTGTCCTGTTTAAGTGCTTTAATTTAAAAAATGGCATCGAAAATAAAAAAAATACCATCTAGATAACTTTAGTTTCAGAAAAATTGCTACAAATAAAAATCAGAGAGTTTACTAGGAAAAAAAGTGTCCACAGACTAGAAAAAAAAGAAACAAACAGGCATTGTAAAACCAATAGCTCCCTTACTACGCTAAGAATTTTTCAGGGGAAAAATACCACAAGTAATTTTTAAATTTATTAAAAGAAACTTGATATATTTGCATTAATTGTTTTATATTTATTACGTTTTTTAATAAACTGAAGATCATTATAAGGTGTAGAAATTGATCAAAGCAGAAGAAAATGGACTATGAAACATTTCAATATTTTTAATCTTTGGATAATACATATTGAAGTGTGATTTAATGCAACATTAGATTTCATTATACCTTAAATGATCTTCAGTTTATCAGTTTATTAAAATAAATTTAAAAATGATTTGTGGAATTTAAATACCATAAATCATTTTTAAGTTCTACTAAAATTGTATATCAAATTAAATCAATAAATTGTTTAATAAATTCAATTTTTATATTATTTTCCTTTAAAACAATGTTTCTACTATATCAGATGATAATAGTTATAAAATTGCCTTAGAGGTTGTTTTTGATTTATATTTATTATTTAATTAAAATAAATATGCGAATTTAGTTTTAGTAACCATATTATTCAGCACATATCTAATATAATATGCTAAAATAGTATGTATTATGACAAATTACAATTATATTTAGTTATATTTTAAATATACTTTTTTTTTCAGGAAATTCAATTTTGTACAATGATTTTTATAAATCATTTTTTTTTTTTTTGTTTCTAACCATTTGTTAAATATTATATTAAAATAACTATAAATTATCAATTTTGCCAAAAAAAAAAAAAAAAATATTGCAACTATAAAAAATAATATATTTATATATTTTTTTATTGAAAATATTATTTCTACTGTTCAAGTTTTAAACATTTCTTTGGCGAGTGTTATATTTTATTAATTAAGTTCAAAAAACAACCATCGTTGACTTTTTTGTAACTCCCCAGAGATATGGGAAGGGGTTATAAGTCATGACCAAATTTAACCAAAATTACTTTCTTGTAATAAAGAATAAAGTGAGGGGGCCTACATAAAAAGAATCAATATTTTTATTTCTTCTATAAATAAGAACCCTTAATTAAATAATGTATATGTATAGATAATAATTTAGATATTTACTTCACTTCTCTCACAGAACTTATGATTGAATTCTGTGCCACAATAAGGGACTCAATATCTTGTCTTCCTATTCCAGCATTTAATTGTGCCATTTGTGGTGTTTGTACTATTATATAAATAAACAAATTAAAACTTATAATCACATACATTTATGAGGTCTGGCTATTAAATAACGAGACTGGTTACGAAAAAGTGTTTTATTATAAAAATTATTTTACATTCAAATGCTCCCCTTCCCTCGCCACACACTATTTCATTGGCATCCAGGCAGTGCTGGAAGTCTGTTTTCGTAAGACCATTCAGGAGTTCCGCCGATTTTTGTTTCACCTCTTCCATCGACTCAAACCGGATTCCTTTTAAGGTAGACTTTATCTTCGGAAACAAGTAAAAGTCGCAGGGTGCCAAGTCGGGTGAGTAAGACGCGTGTTTGAGTATTGGAGTGCCTGGAGTACTATAGGCCTCTTATAACAACTTATAGCATTCAGTTGGAGTTTTTTTTAGTTTAACGAGAAAATTTTACATTTATCCATTGCTTTTGTTTTTCGTCACACATGTTTTTTGGCAAGAGAAAAAAACATGTTCGTTTCTAAACGCTACAGAAAAAATAATAATGCACCAACAAAAACCCAATTTTGTACTGGCATAATAGACACTTCTAGCTAGCCAGGGCTGTATTTGGTTTTCCCCTAACCTTTTTGGGACGCTCTCTATGCGCGCAGTCTCGTTATTTAATAGCCAAACCTCGTATCATAAATAATTAAATACCATTTGGCTGATGACCTCCTACAGAACTTAGAACTGCCATTGTAGATTGAACATTTGATAATAAACCCAGTGTTCTTTCTTGACGGCCAACAATTTCATCAAGTTTTTGATTTAAAATTTTAACAGATTCCACAATTTGACTTTGCCCAGAAAATATTTGATGTAATTCACGCTGATTATCCGTTTCATACCAGTCTTCAAATTCACTATCTTCTTTTGTTTTACTTTCAGGGTGTTGTTTTTGATAACTGTAAAATATACATCATGCTCATGATATGTGTATGCAATTATTTTGTATGAATCAATTTGTTAGTGTTAAGAAATTTTATCAAATAGGTTAGCCATTAGTGGTGGGGGATGAAAGGGGAAGAACTTTTAAACTCCATAATCATTTTTGCTTTTTAAATTTTTCAAAGATTTTTTGATGTTTTTAAACATCTTTTTGTGGACTGTAAGAGAATATAAAATCGGATCTCTAGTTATAACAATAGATTTCATAATATACAGATAAGCAATGGTATGATAAAATTAATGCACATAAAACTACCTTTTTCTCGTGAAAATAATATAGTTAAAAAGTTATGAAAATCAGTAACATTATACTTTGTACAATACACCTTGATTTTCACGTAAGAATGTGATAACATATTGTTACTATAATTTCTAACATCAATTCATGAAAGTTATCTTATAAATTCCTTCAAAAACTGGCAATCTGATGTAAATATATCATAGCTCCTTAATATTTTCAAAATTATGAAATGATAAAGTAATTAGAATCATATAATTTAATAATATTCCAATATAACAATTACTCATACAATAAAAGCCAATAAAAAAAAAAAAATTAATTAATTAATTAAAAAGTAATTTTAACTTGTAACTTTGTACATTTTTAACCAGTAACTTTTATTATTTAGTTAATTTTAACTTAACTAAGTAAAGTAACTGTAAATTATTCAGTTACTTAGGTAACTTCCCCCGGCCTTGGCTGTAAGTAATAATTATAACAAAAAAATTGATTTTAGAACAATAAAATAAAATAAAGTAATTTTAATATCTGAGCAATTTAACTTTAAAGTATATTTAACATTGTTATACTATTGATTTTTATTTAGCAGTAAATATTGTTAAATTAATTATGGCTGGTAATTATTGTTAATATGAAAACTGTGGTAAATCATAAAAAATAAATAAAACATTTAAAAATGTTCTAGGTTTCAAGGGACCATTGGTTGAATATGGAAAATTAATTAATGTACTTATTTAATTTAATAATAACTAATTATATGTTCATTAAAATGATTATTTTAAAAACAATTTATGTTAATTGTCTGTATTGTTAGTGGTAATAGGCATAATTGGATTTAAGATCCGAATATTCAAATTGTATGGCCATCTCTCATTGTTTGTTTCCATTTGTTAAATAATATAATAATACAATTTTAACATTAAAAATAAGTACAATTCTGACTTAAAATAAGAGGAAAACTAATGATTTTGTATTAAGGAGTATCTTCATTAAATTAATTAATATTGTTTTGGATTAATAAAATTTTAAGAATATCAAAAATATCAAACTTATCAAAACTTGCAAAACTTTAAAATCCTAAAACATATGATGATAGTTATATTTTAATAGAAGAAAATTAAAATTAATACTAATTATGCTAAATAAATGTAATTTTGTATTTATTTATATTTTTGAACATGAAATGTATGCCATTTTTTAAGCACCTATAGTATATTGTTAAACACTTGTATTTTATTTGTATTTATTTATGACACCCCATTAATAAAACCCTATGTATTGTGATTTTATATACATTGTATTATATAATATTATCAATGTTTAATATCAAGATCAAATTTAAATACATAAATATGTTATAACTTGTAAAATCTGTTTTTTTTTTTTTATTTGTATATTATTTAATTTAAATCCAAGAGTTAAACCAAAAATTACCAGATTTAAACATTTTTTGAAAAAAAAAAAAAGTGAATAATTACAGTCTAGATCTCTAATTGTATTTACAATAAGTGATTTGATTATAAATATAGATACCTGATTTAAGCTTATGTTAATAATTAAATTAGAATTGCATTATAATTATAATACCTCTATTTAAGGCATACTAAAAAAAGTAAGTAATAATACTTTAAGTATTATTGATTTCAAAATACTTACATAACATTTTTTAAAATTTATTCGCCCTATGAAGTCATATATTATTAGTTCATAATATTTAATTATTTTGAAGTAAATGAATTAAAAATTAAAAATATTAATATATTAATTAGCTATGATTATTGAAATTTTACTGGAAGTCATTCAATAATTTTAATGAAATTTTATCTTGGAAATATTATTTATAAAATAAATTTCAATACGTAAATAATCAGTTATAATAAATAACTGGCCTCTGTAATGTGTTGCTGCACAACAATATCTTATTAAACAGGGAATTATATGGGAAGTTATATGGGAAGTCCATATAACTATAATTTAAATTGTTAAATATCCCTTTATTATAAGCTATCTGGAAGTTTTAAAATCAATGCTGATAACTAAGGCTCTTGTATTATAATACAAAGTAATATCTTATATTGTTTTAAATATAAATGTACAATAATTATCTTACTCTTCTGTTTCTTGTTTTAATTTGCGTTGATAATTTGCATACTCATTTGTTAATTTTTGTTCTTCATCTACAGAGGTCCCTGCAGAAGATTTAAATGTTGTTCCAGGAGGAAAAAGACTATGGGTAAGAAAATGATGAATATCATGGTCATCTGTAAAAAGTAAAAATTTTAATTACAAATATAATAAATATAAAATTCTAAATGTTTAACCTGCAAGTCCTCCTGTAGCAGCAGACACTCCAAAATAGCCACTCTTTGGTAAAAAAACATTCTCACTTCGGAAACAAATTTCAAAATCTTTTTCATTATTAGTATTACCACTATGGAAATATACCTAAAATAATACACATAATACAAATTATCATTAAAACTATTTAGAAGGAAAATATTAATATTAATCAATTTTTGTATGGGTTAAAATAATTTATATAAATATATGATAGATATACCGTCAAAGTGTTCATATAGTATTCTATTTTTGCTCTAGTTGCAAAAGGTTTATTTCGGAAATCTCTTAAACAGCCTGATAACTGTTGTGTTGAACCATCACTAAATAAAAAAAAAAATAAAAGTACCTTATGTTTATTTTTCCTTTAATATAAAAATAATTAAAATAATTAAGCTTACTTTGCATGATCGAATATTTTTGAACCATCATTAACAATACCAAAAATATAGGGGTTATTGTGTTTAGCATCATTATCAAATGAATCAAAAAATATTCCCAATCCAACCCATTTGTCAGAACTTCCGAAAACAGGACCATCATAGTGACCTTGTGAATCTGTATACCAAAATGCCTAAACAAATTGTGTTTGCATTTAATAAAAAAAAAAATATTGTTAATAATAATTTGTATTACTAGACCATCAGCACCAATTCTGCCTCGGCCGCTAACTCTAAAATTGATTTCTACTGTCCACCAATCAAATTTAGTTTGACTTTTTGTCCAAATAGCACCTTAAAAAAAGAATTTAATAAAATTTATTATTTAAAAATTTTAACTTAAAAAACTGAAAAGTTTGATAAACAAAACAAATTAAAGTAGCCTTGCGTAGGTACTTATAAGTATTAATACATTTTTCCTTCAGAGATTATCTATACAAGATTGATTTTTTATAAATTAATATAGAATGAATAATTAGAATTGATACAATTTGAATGATATTTAAAAAGTGTTCATTAATTTAAAAAAAAATACACATTTTCTAATTTAATGCTCTGAAAATTGTAAAATAAAATCAAGAGTTTAAACTTTAATTATTGCTTAAATTTTAAGTACATAATCACACAGTAAAAATTAACATAGCTGTTACCCATCCAAGATAAAAATAAATTTTTATTTTATAATACTCACTCTTTGATTATGATAACTAGGGCTAGGATTAATATGCAATAAAAAATTATGAAATATGCATTTGGTTTACTAAAAATAAGTAATTAAAATATTATTAAATGAAAAAAAAATGCTTTGAAAGGTTCTAAAATTTAAAAAAATGTTTTCTACAATTATTAGTGTTATTCAAATGTATTATATGATGTTTTAAATTTTCAAAAATGAACGATTTTAAGATGTTTTTATATTTAAAACTCCATTGGATATGACCTATTTTTTTGTTTATTTAAACCATGTTACTTCCCCAGGAGTTAGATTTGGAAAATCTTTATCTAGATTATTTTCATTTAAAATATTACTTAACATTAACATAGATTCTAGTCTGGTATATTTTAATTTTTCGTTGACTTTTTAAGCAATTGTTCCTTTGTTTTGGCAAAGTTTGAATTTGGTGTTTTCAGTGAGATATTTTATAATTTTAAAATGGATACACCAAATATATTATACACTGGTGATTGTCAAACACATACTAAATTTTAGATAAATACTTTTATTCAGTATACTTATATAATGTAAAACCTTCAATAAGATAAGATGTATTAAATTGCATTTTGAGTATTTTTTTATTGAAATGAGATGTCAATACATAATATAAAACATGCATTTTTCGTGTTTTTGTAATTGAAATATGCAATAGTATTCATTATATTTATTATATGTTAAATTATGCGAAAAAAATTACTACCATTTACTTCTACATGAGCTAATTCTGGTAGACATAACTGACAAAAACAGTAATCAAAAGTTGTAGAAAAATATACCAATGCATATAAATCCTAGCCCTAATGATAACTATATATACAATTTGAAATACAAAAACTGTATAGGTAATAGTTAATTATTTTACTTACATGAGCAAGATAAGTGTGTACAGGGTTTTAGCATATGGACAGCTCTGCTCATATCAAATATGATATGTATACATAAATTATTTTGTAATTGCATTATAAAATTAAATAACTATAATAATCAATTTAGACTAATTTTAGATAAATGGTTACATATTTTTCCTCCAATAATTTATTTACTCACATATACACTCCTATAGCTATTGTAAACTATTATTTTAGAAATTTTAAAATGTTCAATATAGCAGTTTCAAAGTTCCAGAATTGTATTAAAACATCATACAACCATATATTTAAATCTATGTTATATCTGGTGTTTCCAAATTGAGTGCGGTAATTATAATATAGGTTGAGTAGTGTGCATGTTTCTTTTTTTTAATTTTAGATTATGTGAAAACTTTTGCATGTTTGTGTCTCAATATTATTATTAAAAAATTTATATTCATTAATGAAGTTTTTTTTTTCAGTGTACATGCAATCCATTTTTTTTTTTTTATTACAGGTATTCAAAATTAAACTTAGCTATAAACTGAACATCAAAAGTTACAAGTCATTGAACTGTACATAATTTACTTATTTATAGATTATAATCATAATTAATAACATGCAATTTAACTCTGTCACAAAAAAGCTGTCTAACTTGTTTGTCGACCAATATCACTCTTTTTTATGGACATGCAATTTGGATGCACTAGTTATATTATTTAATGTAATCTTTATGCCTCAACTCAATTCACATATCAATTTAAGATAATATAATTATACTATTTTTTTTATTACCATTATTGTTTTTTTCCTGTAGCCCACCCTTCATATGTAATTATTTTACTATGACATATATATTGTTGACAAAGCATCACTATCAACTGAACTGCGCTCAGAATTATTTTTTGGTTAGCAATGGTTTATCGTTGCTTACAGATATACATTAAATTACCTATAATGGTTACTGCACTTGTCCTCATTGTCCTAGGACAGCTGTTTTTATTGTACTATATGACAATGCTTATACATTTTGATCAGCCCTCCCTGTAATAAAATTCTGGATACGTGTATGCTACTAAGTATTTATTTTATTTTTTAAAAAAAATATTAAAAAATAATATCCATATAAAAACATAATACTCAAAAACAAAAAAAGGAATAATGTCAAAATGTATGAAATTATGGCTTGATTGGATGAGTGCACGTAAAATGCTTTTCTTTAAGATATTTAGAAACAGATCATTGTCAAAATTTATATTTTAAAAGATTATTTTTTACTTTTAAGAAATGCATGTTTTAATTATTTTTTTAAATGTATTTTTAACTCTTGTTAAAGTTAATATTAAAACAATTAAAATAATCTATCTAGGTACCCTAGTATTTAATGTTTCAAAAATTCACTTTGAAATGTGAAAAACCATTTAAAATTAATTTACTGTTTTTCAAATATTAGATTATTGTGGGTATTTACAAACCTTTTTGACTTTTTAAAGATGGTGCTATTCGAACATTATCTGAGCTTGCAATAGCATCTGGAAAAAAAAATGAATGACAATTACTTTAATACATTCAAAATACATACAATTATATAATTTCAATATTTTATTTTATTAGAGCAAATTGTGCTTTGCACTTATTTAAATTTATATATTTTTTGAAAATAACAAATACCTATCTATTATTATAACCTGTGTTAATAAATTAGATAGTAACAGCTGTGTATAAAAATATTATGCAGACATTAGTATTCAAGAATTATTAAAAACTGTAATATGTAAATATAGAATACGTAAATTTAAACTATCTGATTTAATTAATTATGAATATATTTTAACCATGTACCACAAAAATGATTGAAATGATTAAAATTTCTTTATTTTGGTGATATAAATCTGATGTTAATTCAAAGATCATTTAAATTTTTTATTTTTGTATTTTTACAGCCATGATAAATTATAAAACATCTATGAAATTAAAATTGTTGGTCAAATATCTTATATAATAATAATAAGTAGTATTAAACAAAATATGACATACTTCCACCATATTCCCAAAACGGTACGGATCCATCTTTTTGAGCTAAATAGGGAGGTTTGAAGCTGTATTTATATTCGAATCTTGATACTATCTGGTTGCATTGACCATTGTTCGCATAACCAGACAACAGAACGATGAAAAACAATGAAGAACAAAACGACTTCATTTTAATTAGTAATAGTTGGCGATACTATTGTGCGTGTTTTCGAGATTATAAAATCGTTTTCATTTAGAACGTAACGATGTCATTTCGAAAACGTTAAAATTTGTGCGTTGGCATACAGTTTTCATACACGTCGGCCGTTTGTCGTTTTTTTTTTTTGTATTAAATATCACACACGGTTATGAATTATGGAGAAAAACATAGTATTGTTATTATGTAAAGTGCTTGCTTTAACAATTATACACGTACCTACCTCACCGCTTTACGATTATGCCGCATCGGCAAATTTAATATTAAAATGTTCAGTAACCACAAATTGTATACAACGACCAACGTGTCTTAAGTGACGTGTTCTATGTGACTGTCCGTTGTCCATACGCCAATCCACAGGCTGCACTTTTAAGTCGCCAACGTACACGACGTCAAACCACTCTACGTCACAAATCTTGAAATTCGATAACGTATAACATTGGTTATTAAAATTGTATAGTGAAATTCAATAAGTAACCGTGGTCGAAACATAGAATAGTAGATAATATTTTTCTGTGATAATACGACTATATTATCACAGTGCACAATAATACAAATAATATCAGTCTCATAATTTTCGATAAAATATCTAATAGAAGAGTATTATAATTTTCTTTTTATAGATCAATTCAATATTATTATTTATTACTACTTTCGAGTTTGTTTGGTTCATTAAGAAACAATTTGATTAATATAATACTACATAATTGTTACACGTATTATTTTGGATTGTTGAAAAATATGTTTTCTTTCTCACGTTTTGTTTTGTCGATGGCAAGGAATTCAATACAACGACAATATAAACCACATAAATTTACACAAATTTTACCACCTTTGTCTAGGTATTATGCTATCAGTAAGTTATTATGTATTACTTTTTTTAATTCTAAATATATTTACTGTGTCAGAGTTCCGTAATTTTGTTCATAATACTGAAATTTAACAATTACTGTTTTGCATATATTCACATACCTAACTTTTTTCAGATAAGTTTTACAAAACAACAAATATTATTGAAAATAACGATTCTTATGGAATATTACTTGACAATAGCAAATTAAAAACGCCTTTAGGTAATGAACTCATTGTAAATAGTAAAGCATTAGCTCTTGCTATTGCTGAAGAATGGGCGATGCAAAAAGAAAAAATCCAAACAGATTCTATGCATTTGGTAACATTTTCTGAAAATTGGTTCTTTATAAAAATGTATATTAATTTATTTACATTTATTCAGACAAAGTTGTGTTTCCTGACAGTGGACAATCCTAGTGGTCTTTCAGAAAATGATGCAGTTCAACAAATATTATCTTATTTGGAGACAGACACAGTATTTTTCATTTCTGATGTAATTTTCAATTTACTATTTTATTAGATATTTATAGTATAAGTTATTTACAATTTTTCAAATAGACAGATAAAGAATTGGAAAAATTGTTAATGGATAAATGGATTCCATTTATTAACAAGTTTAATGGATATTTTGACACAAATTTGAAACCATCAAAAAGTATCTATGTTGAAACCTTTGATAGCAAATCTAAAGCAACAATTGAAAAGTATTTTTTGTCTCTTGGATTCCCGGCTCTGCATGGTAAATTTAATACAACATTATTTAATATTTTACAGGAGCTCGAATTATATGTTATAGGTATTTTTGTTATAAGTTCTCTAGATAAAGATTAAGATGAAGTGTCTTATTTTGCAATACATTTATAGATTAAAAGTATAGAATTCCTTTTAAAAATGAAAAAAATGATACACAACAAACCATACGTTTTGTGTATTAAAAACATTTTTCCTATTTTAGATACAATTGCTGTAACATGTAATTTGGGAGACCCACATATTTGTTTCAATACCTATACTGTATATCAGTGGTCTTCAACCTTTTGGGACTCACGACCCACTTTTTTAAGCATACATTATTCGCAACCTACATAAGGCATACATAAAGAAAAAATTTTTGTACAAAAACAAAAAAAACAAAATCTAAAATTACTTAATACTTTGTAGTAGTACTGTTATAACTGAATAAATAAAAATAAATAAATTTTTTAACGGATATGTAAATATGACTAGGATAATAACTTACATTTATTTGTCTTTAAACACAGTAACAACATCGACAATGTTCGTAGATTTATGTTACTCTTTAAGGATAATAATATAATATATTTATTTTATTACTAACCCGGTTTACTTGTAAATTATTATATTTAATGTCATACTACGTAAAATCATACCAGTATATGAAACATATACTGTGTTTTTAAATTCATTATACTATTATATTTTTGAATATAAATTACATAATATTGTTTATACATAATATATTACAATAATTTTCAAACTATATTTTCATTTAGTAATTTTCTAAATTTAATAATTAAACAATTATTTGTATACCTTATATAATTGTATAAACTTAATTTTTATTTCAAAAAGAAAACTTATCGTAACCCAATTTTTAAGATTACTTGACCCAAAAATGGGTCGCGACCCACCGGTTGAAGACCACTGCTGTATATTATTCTCTATCCAAAATTATAATAGTGGTTGGCGGTGACAAGTTTTTGTCATTAACGAGATCAGTGGTCAGAGCCCATTCTACCTCCCGCTTGATCAACCACCTGGTGCTCAGCAGGGGCTGATTATGACAACCGCAAATAAACACAACACAGTTCACTTACAGTTACAGCTACAGTTCACTTATGATGACATAGTAGGTACCTATTTAATGCACTTCAAGTTATTTGTGCTAGTCAGCTGTCGATTATAGACTAATAGGCCACGCCTATGCACAGAACTCAGCTGCCGACTACTATTCTTATTTTGGCTAGAGTATTGGTAGTCGAAAAATATTTATTTTATTCTAACTTAGGGGTTTTGCATGCTGTTGAAACTCTTAAGTCATTAGTATTAGCTACATGTTGCTTAAATCAAGATTTATCTGTAAAAGATGCCGTTTTGTTGTCTAAAATGGAAGAAGAATATCAGGTGATAATATGATTATTTAATTAAGTTTTAAAAAATAATGTTTTGTGTTTAAAATTTTAGTGTATGAAATGGGGACGTGTGGATTGGATTAAAGATTACATTGACAATGATTCAGTAATCAGATTATCAGCCGCTATGCTGTTCACATATTATACCCTTAACAGAAATCATAAACCATTGGCTAAACAAGATAATGAAAAAATGCAACAGTCTGTAAAGAATTAAACTATAAAATGTAGTTTAATAATTAATAATAATGAGATCATAAAAAAATAAGTACATAATTATTATTGTTATTTTTTTAATACAATTGAGTGGTAGTATTTAAATTTTTAATAAGACTTCATTAGATCAAATTTATATTTAAAAATACATCCTAGGATAGTGGGGATGGGTGGACTCACTGTTATATGCAATTAAATGTATACCTGTAGGCAACAATGAACTATTGTTTACAAAAAAACTTGAGATGAGTTGAGTTGATAGTGAAGTTTTGTCAACAATATACGAGGTGTGGCTATTAAATAACGAGACTGCTCGCCTAGAAGGCGCCCTAGATTGGTAGTAAAAAAACCGAGTAATGCGTTGGGTATCTAGATATCTTATCTATGCACGTACCAAAACACGTTTTCGTCACTATTATAGTATTTGTGCAGTGGTGATTTGAAACGAACGTGTTTTTTTTCTCGTGACGAAAAACAGAAGCAACGTATCAATCTCAAATTTCTCGTTAAATTGAAAAAAACTCTGACCGAGTGCTATAAATTGTTGCAAGAGGCCTATGGAGGCAATTCTCTATCTCGTGCACGTGTTTTTGAGTGGTATAAGCGCTTCAGTGAGGGCCGAGAGAGCACTGAAGATGACCAGCGTCCAGGTCCCCTTGTCACTGTTTCAACTCCGGAAACAGTGACCAAAATCAACCAAATTGTGCGTGCAGATCGTCGAATGAGCATCCGGATAATTGCCGAGGCTGTAAACGCCGATAAAGAAATGGTTAGAAAAATTTTACATGAGGAATTACATATGACAAAAGTCTGTGCGAAGTTGGTGCCAAAAAACCTGACTCCTGACCAAAAGTTCTTGCGTCAACAGGTCTGCTCAGATTTCCTTGAAAAGTTAAAAGAAGATCCCGGACTGATGAAAAACATTATAACTTGCGACGAAACATGGATTTTTCAATACGATGTTGAAACAAAGCGACAATCGATGCATTGGAAGACACCTGAATCGCCCAGAATCAAAAAAGCAAGGATGTCCAAATCAAAATTTAAGGCAATGTTGATCGTTTTTTTTGACATTAACGGTATCGTGATGACTGAATGGGTTCCAGAGGGTNACTCGTGGATTTTGCACCAGGACAACGCACCTGCCCATAACGCGCTATCTGTGAAGCAGTATTTGGCCGGTAAGTGTACTCCAGTGCTCGAACACGCGCCGTACTCTCCAGATTTGGCACCGTGCGACTTTTTTTTGTTTTTAAAGATAAAATCTGCTTTGGAAGGGACCCGATCTGAGTCGATGGAAGCGGTAAAGCAAAAAACGGCAAAGCTCCCAAAGGCCCTCACCAAAGAAGACTTCCAGCACTGCTTTGATCAATGGAAAAAACGTATGGAAAGGTGTGTAGCGAGGGGAGGAGAGTATATTGAAGGGGAGCATTTGAATGTAGAATAATTTTTATATTAAATTACTTTTTCGTAACCAGTGTCGTTATTTAATAGCCACACTCCGTATATGCCAAAATGTATCAATTTTCCCTGTTTTTCTGTTTTCCTGGTGGGTAAATGATCTCCTTAAAGTACCTCCTCCAATAAAATTTCCTTTTAGAAAAATTGCTATAATTTAAAATTAGAACAAAATTGTTGGTATTGTTAGTAAAATAAACATTTTTGTAAAACCATAAGCTTCTTCGCTCCATTCAGAATTTAAAATTATGTTTTTTAAATAGTAAACAAATTGATAAAAAAAAAAAAAATGTATATATATATATTCTTGTGGATAGCTAGAAAAACAATATTATAATAAACTAAATTAAATTAATTGTTTGATGACTAATTTCTGTCATAAAATACGAAGTGTGAATACTGCTTCACAGATAGCGCGTTATGGGCAGGTGCGTTGTCCTGATGCAAAATCCACGAGTGGTTCTTCCACAACTCGGGCCGTTTCTTACGAACTCTTTCTCGCAGTGTTGTCAAAACTGATAAATAGTAAATCTGGTTGACAGTCTGACCCTCTGGAAGCCATTCAGTCATCAAGATACCTTTAATGTCAAAAAACACGATCAACATTGCCTTAAATTTTGATTTGGACATCCTTGCTTTTTTGATTCTGGACGATTCAGGTGTCATCCAATGCATCGATTGTCGCTTTGTTTCAATATCCTATTGAAAAATCCATGTTTCGTCTCAAGTTATAATGTTTTTCATCAGTCCAGGATCTTCTTTTAACTTTTCAAGGAAATCTGAGCAGACCTGTTGATGCAAGAACTTTTGGTCAGGAGTCAGGTTTTTTGGCACCAACTTCGCACAGACTTTTGTCATATGTAATTCCTCATGTAAAATTTTTCTAACCGTTTCTTTATCGGCGTTTACAGNAAGTTATAATGTTTTTCATCAGTCCGGGATCTTCTTTTAACTTTTCAAGGAAATCTGAGCAGACCTGTTGATGCAAGAACTTTTGGTCAGGAGTCAGGTTTTTTGGCACCAACTTCGTACAGACTTTTGTCATATGTAATTCCTCATGTAAAATTTTTCTAACCATTTCTTTATCGGCGTTTACAGCCTCGGCAATTATCCGGATGCTCATTCGACGATCTGCACGCACAATTTGGTTGATTTTGGTCACTGTTTCCGGAGTTGAAACAGTGACAAGGGGACCTGGACGCTGGTCATCTTCAGTGCTCTCTCGGCCCTCACTGAAGCGCTTATACCACTCAAAAACACGTGCACGAGATAGAGAATTGCCTCCATAGGCCTCTTGCAACAATTTATAGNGAAATTTGAGATTGATACGTTGCTTCTGTTTTTCGTCACACATGGTTTTCGGCACGAGAAAAAAACACGTTCGTTTCAAATCACCACTGCACAAATACTATCATGAATTAGAAATTTTCTAAGAGGATTTAAGTGAATTTGATTTCCTTTTTTTTTTTATAATCTTTATGGAATCGATTAAGTTTATTTTAAAACCATTTATATTTTTTTATCCCTACTCCATATACTTTTATTTTTTAGATAGGAATCCTTTTTAAACATAGATTTGAATAGAGATTTTTTTCTAGAAATTTTGCTATGCATAACACTAAGACTGGGTGCATAAAAGAGTTAATAAGTTAAAAGTTCCAGTTAAAGTTTTTTGAACTATTAACTTAATTGTTAACTTGAGGTTTTACTGTTACTGGTTAAATGTTGTAGTTAGTTTATTAAGTAGGTAATAGACAATATATACATTTTTTTTTTAATTAACTTAACTTGAGTTAAAAAGTTAATTTTAACTTTTAGTTAACTTCTAACTTTGTTGAATCAATAGATTATTTTGAATTAACTTCATATAAATTTAAATTTAATTTAATTTGACTAAAAAAATCATTAACTTGCCCAGCCTTGCATAACACTAATTTTAGATATAATGTTTAAAATTTAGACTGGAAGAGTAAGGTAGAGTTCAATCATCTAATTTATTACCCTCCCTTTATCTACATTACTACCACAATTTTTTACTCCTTACACCCTTCCCAGTGCCCATGGATACAGCAATAGACATGGAAAAATGGGTTTTCTGCATTCTTTCAATCTGGACAAGATTGCTGATAGGAAATTTGTTTATAAACACAAAAAACTAATGAAAATCTGGCTCAGAATCCAACAAAAATAAATATTATATTAAATTAAACGGGTATTAAAAAGATTTGGAAAAAAAGACTGATGTAATTGGTATGTTGGTGGGCCACTATTGTTAGAGAGAAAATTCAAAGGTAGAGAGTAAATGTAATGTACATCTATATGCAGGATGTAGAGAAGATAAGATAATGCCACTTTGGTATCTTTTAATATAAAAAATTAAAGCAAATTGGCTGTTCACCAGAGTGCCCTAGTATTCACCCAGAGGCTGGTTTTTAAATTTGTTTTATAGTGATTTATTTATACTTGATCTTTAGTAAAATGTTTCAGTTATATTATATATTATTATATAAGATTATGTTTATTTATTAATATACATATATATTATGTACAAAAACGGAATAATTATTACCTACCATTGTATATTAAATTAATCATTTAATCAAGTTTTAAAATTATCAATGTTATCCCATATGAGATCTATTTATGATTTTAAATTTGTTTAGCCTTCTTTAAAAAATTTCAGAATGTCAAATAAAACTGGTTATGCTAGTAGTATTAAGAAACTAAAATTAGAAAATAAAATGCAGACAACTTTGTTTCATACGCCAAAGATTTGAATTTTTGTTTTAGTATTCTTAAATAAATAATACTTAATCTTAAAAAACAAATTGTGTCCAATGTACACAATTCATCTTTTATTAATTTATTATTTTATGTCCCCAATGCATCATGAATAATAAATGTAATATATGTATACAGTATACAACTAAAAATCAATCTTGTTTTACTAAAAACAAATTATACAAATAATCATAAATAAGTATGAATATATTTGTAGGTGCTAAGTTTAGAAGGTATGATATAGAAGAGAATATTTATTCAATCAATAGTTTTCATCAAATCCTTAATACCTTTTATTGCTATTATAATTACATTTTACTAAAGTAAATTTGTTTGTACATTTCCAACCTAACTAATCAATTAGTTATTAAATCAATGTAATATAATTTAAGCACATACATTTACTGTAGGTTTGACATTTATTATAAATTGAATTAATTGTTTAAAAAACAATCCATAATCAATTTTCTTTAATATTGTGTTCATATTTTTATCTATATATTTTTTTCACATATATAAATGCTTTATAAAGTTCTAAGTATATTTTAATTTTAAATCTGTGTATAATTTCATAATTTAATGTGATATGAAGGAGTTTATGTTTGTAAATGAGAGTAATTTTATTTTTCTTTATCAGGTCTACTAATTCATGGTCATGGTTATCTGTCTTGTTGTATCCCCAATTTTGACTATGACAGTTGGAATTCCCAACATTATTTTTGTTTTGTGGTTATTAAAGTTCTTTGGCTGGTTAGATGCAAAGGTAGAATTTGGGAGTTTATACACAAAGGTTACTGAGTATTTTCCCAGGTTTACCGTTTATACTTTTATATCATTAGTTTCTGTTAATTCTGAAAAAGTCATTTGTATATTGGGTTTCACAAAAACTACTCTACCATACTCTAGAGAACTTAAAGCTACTTCTGACTTAAAGCCATTTTATTTTCTTATAGGCATATCACGTAACAGGAATGATCTCTCCATAGTTCTATCAATATCTCTTCTTTGTTGGGTAAAATACTTTTAATGTTAATGGACATTATTGTCAAGGATGGCTCAAAAAGGGCCTTTATTTTTTATCACTGGTTTATATTTAACATAGTTTCTGCCATCTTTGCTTATAGTGACCAAAAATATATAAAAAGATATGAAAAATAAGCACTAAAGTTGGAATATGTAAAAATATGAAATGTACAATTTTTTTATTTAATCAATCAAATAATTATTTTAAGGGCTCTCATTGACTGCATGTATATGATTTAGAAAATAATCAATATGCAATTTATACAAAATCCGGTTTTTACCTATACCAGTATACATTTGACAAATGATGATCACTATATTAGTAAGATCAGTCTATCAAAAATGCCTCAGTTTATCTACATTCTACAATCATCGAACTATATTTATATAATACTGTATCTGTGTTGTTACATTTTATTGTTTTATGGTAATTCAAAATAATATATATCTGACGATATATTTTTAACCATAGGTACCTACATAAAAAATAAATGTGTAAACAGTCTTAAATCTGAAAAAGGGAATAAAAGTGTTAGTTTAAATATATATATACATGATGAATTTATGTACAATGAGTTGACATGCATTATGTATTAAATGCACATAATTTGATTAACTAATATTAAAGCACAAGTCAATGTTTCCAACCATTTGTTATAAAATATAAATTACTTATAAATATATACACATTTTTAATAATTAATATTTTTTTTTTAGTCTCAGTATTTGTTACATATATATAATAAAGCACAATTTCCAAATTCAGTATCTCCCTCCTTTTGGTATAATCTTAATTGAGGCACTGTCACTAAGTTGCTGTTGTTTGACAATGACAAATTTCCATGTAATAATAATATATATCGTTCAAATATTATTATACATTATTCAAATAAATGGAGTAAAATACATTAATATGACAAATGATCATTGTTCAATAACATAAATTTATTTAATATAATATGTAATTAACACAAAAAATAATAAAAATAAAAATAAAAAGGAATAATACAAAATAATAATATGTTAAAGCATGAACCAAAAACTTAAAAATTAAATATTATAAAATGTTACTATATTATAGTGTATGTTGGTATGGTAATTTAGTAATTATTCACCTTTATTCGTTGTAATAGCCCAAACTTAACATTTCTGAAAAAAAAAAATTGTTAGTAGGTATTCTATATCGTTTAAACCGGAATGTTTTGAATTGTATAGATAAGTATATTTTTAAATAATTGATTTTTAGTAGGTATACCTATTTATAATATACATTTACATTTTTTATACTTGAAGCAAAACAAAATAATTAGGTCTCACTCATCTAATCCATGAATTCATGTTCCGTTTTCGGATATTCGAACCCTTTATAAAGACGATTGAAAAGAAATACGTTTAAAAATTATTTTATTATAATTATTAAAGCATGATAGCTACTCAACATTTTATACCTTCCATTTTACACTTTGTTTATTAGGTACAATAGACATTTCGATCATAGGTATAACTGAATATCTTGAAAACATTTTTAGTTCATATTAGGATTATCTTAATTTGTTTAAATTTTTGATTTTTTAGTACAATATTATATTATTTATTAACACCTAATTACACTGAGCTATGTGATAACAAAATTAATGCTTATTAGTTTATTATGTTCCCTTTCTTTGCGAAAGATTAACTTCGCATTGAACGAGTACAGAATAAATTTTTAGCTTATGTTGCATTCATACTTAATATTCCAATCATACACCATGACTACTCTCATATCTATGAAGTTCTCGATGTCCAATATATATGTTCACGTTGCCTCGAATCTGACCAAAGATTCAATGCCTCACTTTTAATTGGGTTCCTAGATGCTTAAGATCTTCATGAAAGAATCTATTTTAGAGTCCCACCATAACTAGCTTCCATTCGTCATCCAAGGGCGTATTTCTGGGGGGGGGCGAAGTGTAATCACCCCCCCCCCTGAGCCACTATTTTTATTAAATTTGTCCGGATTATAGCGGGAGATCTATTAGTTATACTAAGATGTTTATTTTTTTCTCTTCATTTTTCTACCAGCAATCTTGCCCCGATCATAAAATGACAAACGACTGATTTTGTTCCTTTTAACGTAAATAATTTTGTGATATTCGAAGTAGTTTTTATAATAATCGGGAAAAACCAAAAAAATAAATTTGATTAATATTTACGTTGACGTTTCGTCCAGGTATAATTATTTTAAATTTTGCAAACGATGTTCCGAGGACTTAAAATAAGTGTTTTGCAAAAATTGTAAACGTAAAACTTTGAATTTTTTTTAAAAATTGTATTAATATGAATGTAAACTGTTGTGCTATAGGTATATGCATTTTTTTAATAAATTATACAATTTTTTTAAAAAAAAACCTGAAACTGAGAATAAGTGTGGCAACTGTTGTTGGACGTTGGTGGGAAGGTGGGATAAATGAATGTATTTAATCTATACCTGTAAAGAGTGGAAGAGAGCCAGGGGGATGTTACGACCGCATGCTCAGAACATTTACTTCTTGACTCCAATCTTCTATATTCCCTCTGTATTATTCAATATACTTTATATTTCTAATTTAGTCATAGTTATATATTTATGTATAAAACATAATATTGTTTTGTTTGTATTGTTGTATTAACTAACTAGTTTCGTGTTCTCCCCTTTCGTAACGCCGTTATGGATATAAATTGTAAAATAAATAAATTAGTATACACCTACATTTCGTCGGGGAAGGTTGCACTTACAGTTTACATGGTGTACATATTGCACACATTGTTTTAATGTTGTGATCTATTTGCAAATAATTTGTATAGATACTTGTCTTGTAATAATACTAATCTTTAATGAGTATAGGTTGTATATTATATAAATATAATAGATATACCTACGTTCTGCATAATGTACAAACAACTAAACAGCTATAAGTTAGTAACTAATAATATTGCTATTATACATTTTTATTTATGCTGGTCTAGTCGAGATCAATCGATTAATCGTTATTATTTATTATTTGAGTAACCATTTGTTTTACCATCTATAACTGCTGTATTCTTCTGCAGATTGATAAACCAATCTTGATACGGATAATTTGGACGCACCCCACCGTACACTTTTGGCAGATATTTAGGATCGATGTGTTTGTGTAAAGAATCCATATTTTTGCCGTGAAAAAATAACTGTAATTATAGTAAAATATAAATCATATGTATAAATATAATATTAAGTATGTACGTATTATTATTTTAATTTTTCAAGTCAAAACCATTATGGTTTGGTAGTTGGTGCCACGTATTCTTATATTTTGTACTGTACACTTTTTTAAAGAACAATTATGATCCTCCTAGACCTCAAATGATACGTATCGTAATTACTTCTTGGTTTCTTATCCTTCTTATACTATATTCTAACTATAAAAGACTATTGAATTATTAAATAATGTACCTAAATAATAATATATTACCTTATAGTAATTTCCAAATAAATGCAATTATAATACACAGAATATATGATACATTTAAAATGCATGTTTTTTAAAACATTATTATTATAAATTATCTTTAATAATTTATTGAGTTATAATGATTTAAGACCATTATTATCTATTGGTATACAATGTTACACTTAAACATAAGATTCTGAGCATAACACTATAACGTGCTAGATTCCGAGCGTAACGAAGGAACTATTGGTTATATTAAGATGTTTATTTTTTTTTCTTACTTTTTTTCTAGTCTATAAACACGTTTTCATTTTTTAAATAGAAGCACTTAAGTGGAAAATAAATGTTGGAAAACGTACAATTTCACGATTTCATTATTTTATAAAAATACGGACAACGTTTTCTATCAGAAAAAATGATTTAATTGAAAAATCACAAGATACCTTTTTTGTTGCCTTTTTACCAAAAGTTTACCAAAATGATTAAAAGACTTTTTTTTTTAATAAGCGTTTTGAAATCAAATTTAAACGAAAATCGCAAAAAAGCAATGGTTTAATGTTGCTCACAGATATAAATTAAATAACCTTATGTATTCTACCTTTCCAACTTTTCACCTACAACTGTGGCCGCTCCCATCCCCAGTATCAGCTCTTTTTTTTTACAGATTTATTTGATATCTTTGATATATGTATACAGGTATACATAATAAATATTCCAATCTTCCCTCCTTAAACAAGCTTCAGATACGCCCCTGTTCCCATCCCTAATATGAAGTAGCGATTAGTGAATGCTCATAAAGCGCATCAACTTTACATGAATATTCACTTCATAATGAAATTTAAAATTAAACACAATGCATATTACGAGAACTGTTGAGTTTTAATACGGTTGGATACGATAAATTAGGAATATTTTTCGTAGTGCAACACTGATGGACCTCTAAAGGACGGTCCATATCAAATAGCCAATAAGACAGGATTAGCGAGTTGGCCACTTTCTTCTTGAATAGGTTCTTTAAACTTAGCTATGTAGGTTTAACTATAAATAGTACTTGGAAAGGGGAAGAGATGATATAACAAAAGTCCCTATCGGTCACATATTTTCACCGTTATATCGACGGTCTGAGATAATAAAAAAAAAAGAGAGACGGACATACTTCACACGATGGATGGGCCACTAATGTTGTTGAGAACCTGGAAAGGGAGGATATGGAGAGGGAATTTAATTTATACCTGTACGCAACAATAAATACCATTGCTAACGAAAAACGATTCGGAGCAAAGTTTCTTTCATACATGTATATAAATTTTTCTGTTTTTTCTACGATATTTTCGATTTTTTACAATTACTATAAAAACCGCTTCGAAAATGACTTCTCTAAAATGCCATTCAGATAAAATTTTTCTTCAGAAAAGGTACTAAACTTGAAAATCGGAGCAAGATTTCTGACAGAAAAGTTGTTTATAGGTAAAAAAAAAAAAAAAAAAAAAAAAATAAAAAATAATAATAAAAACATCATTGTAAAATCAATACACTCCTCGCTACGCTTTGCATCTAAAAAAAAAAAAATAAACACTATATACGTACCATTTCATTATAACGCTTGCCCAAAAACGGCTTGAAAAGATTGAACACCGTCTCAAACACCCACGATTCGTTAATTATGTGTATCGCGTATGTTTTCATCGGTATGCTATACTAAGGACGGAGAAAATACATAAATAAAATACATACTATGCTAATTTTATGTGGATTGTATTTATACAGTTTGATAGAGGAGAGAAATTAATAACCAAAAAAAAACTCAACATACAACTATGAGGTCGAAAATCGTAGAAACTACTTTTGGGGTGATTTGATAAGCGTGCTGAAGTGTGAATCCGTTCATGTCAAATATGACAACTCCACCGAGTATCTGAGCCCTCGGTTCCAGAATGCCCAACTCCAACGTAGCTAGTGTCGCCTTGAGGATTTCGTTCATTTCAAAATCACTGGTATTCCATTTGCCTGCCGACATGAAGTTATTTAGTTTCTAACATTGTTAATTCACATTACGTGTAGACGTAATATATGTACTAAATGTATATATTATAGTTATAATAGTTATATTATTATAGTCACATGATTATTGTGACTTAAATTCGAATGTACTATACATTTATAAATATTATTAGGTTTCGTATGGCTATAGACTAAATTGGTCCTGGCTAACTATATTATAACTGTAATCAAACTAATTCATTGAATTTGTAAAGACAAACATTTTTTAATAGGTATATAAGTACTCGTATTTAGTATACACGTTTATAATACAATTACTAATAACAAAATAAATATATAGCTTTGAATTTATATAAAATTAATAAATATTGTTTGTATTAGTAATTACTATTTTGGATATGTTTACAATAAGCCTAATTACGAACGTTGTTTTATAATTATTTGTGAATTGTGATACAGGTGCATATTATATAGTAATAATTAAATGTTTTAATAATTGCCTTTGGTAATTAGTTAAGCGTAGTCACATAATAGTAATACAGAAAACAAAATAAACAAAGATTGGTATTGGAAAATCTGGATAGTGAACAGTTACTGGAAGGTTTATTTTTCTTAAAAAAATGAAATTGACGATATAAGTCACTGCATAGTGCTCACTTAAAACATGATTATGGCTGAACAAAGCTCGAAATTAAAAATTTGAATTAAATTTATTTAGTTGTTCGTAATTTTACTAAGGACATCGATCTTATTAACATTTTGAAAAATGATGTTTCTATTTTAAACGTCTTAAATGCTTTCTTTCGTGTGTGATGCTATATAGCCATAAAAAATGTTGGGATCTCATTGTAAAAAATGATTCTATAATGATTTGTTTTTTGAGCCCAATCTTTGTATTATTCATACAAAATTACTATGATGGCTACATGTTCCATGAATGTTTTAATAATTTAATAATATTTGTTGAGTTACATTTATCTTACATTAACTTAAATCTTTGTTAATGCATAAATTATTATAGTTGTGTGGTTAATCATTACCGGGGTTATAATTTCATAACTATACGTTATATACACTTGTATATTATACAGCATTAGCCCGGTAATAATTAACACCATGAGTAAAAAATTGAACGATCAATTTTTGTTTAACATTGTGTAAAGGTGGACCACGCCGTCAACAGAATTTCTCATCGTGTGAGCGTGCAATTTTTACGCTCTGATAGATTTTGTAATCATACGAAAACCAGGAACGTACGTCATGTGTGAAATTTGATTCGATTCGTGAATTATGTTCAGCAGATAATAATATATATTATATAGATATTATTATTGCTTTTTATATGATATAACCATAGGTACTCGATACAACGAGAAATACTGGCTGTATACGAATTAGAAATAATGAAATGTAGATGAATATAACTAAGTAGATAAATAGATCTTAACATTATCATTTTGGGATTAATGTATTTATGTTTTTTAAACCTACACAAATGAAAAATCATAAAGTTAATCGAGTTTCATTATCTTCAATCTAATATTTAGGCACGTATCTGGAACTTTATCTTTGAGGGAAGCCATTGATTGTTTGCAAGGCTGGGCAAGTGAATGATTTTTTGTTTAACTCATTTAAGTTAATATGCGCCAATAAGTAAAAGTTAAAAATAAAAAGTAAAGTAAATTTAATTTTAGTAATTTTAAACACAATTTTTTTACAACACAAGTCTTCTCTATTATTTACCAACTTATAAGTTAAAACTATATAATCAATGTAACAGTATATTTCTATACATTACTTTTAACATAGTGGTGAAGGTTTTCGTTAAATAAAACAACAATGGTTACATATATCTAATTAATAATAAATAATAATATATACATTAATACTTAAAATGTATAACTATATTAGTTGTTTTATCAATCCAAATCTTGTATACAGCAAACAGATCTATTATCTGTATTCTATTATAACATAACCGAATCATTTTTCGAAAAAAACAAACCTTGAAACCAATACATTCCCCGCATCCGTTCCCAAATCTAAAAATTAACTTCTTAAAATTAAAATTTATTTTTTTGATTTTATGTTAGATAAAAAAGAATTAATTTAAGTTAGTAATTACGTTAACGGATACCCAAAAGTAACTAGTTAAGTTAAAAAATTAAAATTAAATTAACTTTGTAGTTCATTAATACCCAGTCTTGATTTTTTGTATGATGAATGCTAATGGTTCAATATTTCTGTATAATTAAATATTATACGTGGTTTAAAAAAAAAAATCTGTTCGTAAATGACTTTTCTATCAGAAAAAGTTTTTTGTGATTTTCGGTTACACAATTAAAAATCGACGGCCTATTCGCTGTGTAGGAAGTTGTCCTATTTCCGACAAAAAAATAAAAATAAATATCAAAAGCGGGCGTCTCTACGAGGTAGGATAGTTTACTCTGTAAACCATTAAAACAAGTTGTGTGCAAGCCAATAATTCAAAAATTTAAAAAAATCTAAATTTTTTTAAAAATTGTTGAGACTTTTTAATTGTAAAAATTAATAATTTGTAAAAAAACCCAGGAACATTGAATATCCTTAAAAAATTCTATAATTTATATAGGAACCTCGTACCTTACACTAAATAAAACTAAGTTTTTAGTAATAAAAAAATAAAGTTCGAGTATAATAATAAACGTGGAAAATTTGTACAAAATAATACAAATCTGACTATTATCTATTCAAATCATTTACGACATCCAAGCATATAGTAACACTTTATTGAATGAATATATTTTTTTAATGCCACAACAATCGTGTACGTAATATTTGCTGAATTGTACATTTTTATAAAAACAAAACAGAATTTCTGAAATATGAAAAAAAAAAATACTATTTCTCACATATCTACTTATGTGCAGATTTTTTTTGAACACGGTTCATTGAATGGAAATTCAATTTTTTTCAACAATTTTTTTTGTACTTGGAAATTAATTTAAAACAAGGTCTTTCAACTACCTACTTATCTACCTGTCCATACTATATTACAATTTAAAAATATTTCTATTGTCGTGGTGGCCCCATGAAATAGTCACAGGTGTTCCTTGCAATATTAAAATAGGTACGAATTGTACAATTATAAGTATGGTACTCGTACACATCGACATGATGTTAAATTTAAAATAATTATACATAAGACATGAATATAGGATTAATGTGCCGTGTTGACATAGTGAATTAAGAAGAGACGTTATTTGAAACAAATAATTTTCGTATATTATACAAAATGTACATTTTCCAACACATTTTCAAGTCATTAAGAGCAAATTTGTGTTCAGCAGGGAAATACTTTGTGCTACATTTAGTTTAAATATTATAGTAAACAATTTAAATATTGAACAAATCTATATTGTCCAGATTAATGTTTTTTTCAGTTTGCTAATAGCCTGCAATAGGTTAATTATTCATTCTAATATTAAAAATACCAGCACAAAATTGTCCTTATTATGTCGTACTTTTGTAAGATAGAGAAAGCACATGCGAGTATCACGTCCTTTTAATTATATTTCAAAGTAGTTAAGCTAATAATTTGAATACCCAATTAAAAAGAAATTTTTTTGGTGTAATCTACATTTTGTATTATATCATATTGTCGCAATGGTTTTGTCAGAATGGTTAATGACAAAATTATAATTGTTTTAATATTTTTACATGATCTACTTGATTTTTATTATTATAATTAGAGATCGGATTTGTGTGTTCTTAAAATCCACAAAAAAGCACTTGAAAACGTCAAAAAGCCTTGAAAAAAAAAATCACTTAACAAATATATAAAAACGCACAAAATAATAAAGGGGTTTAATAGTCTCCCCTCTAATAAATTCAATTTATAAATATAATTTTCTAACACCATAACATCTTTAATAAAAAGTAATTTTTTTTTATAATATTTAAGATTTTATTTAAAAGAAATCATTTTATGCTATCCGTTTTTGTAGTGTTAGGAAATTAAATTTAATACGAATCATTATAGGGGGACTTTAAAACCCATCTATCATTTTTACCTTTTTAAATGTTTTAAAGTGTTTTTTTTTCAGAGCTTTTTTAGTGGTTTTAAGCGCCTTTTTGTGGATTCTAAAAGAATACATATCCGGTCTCTAATTATAATTAATAAAGTATAATACGAATGCCTAATATCGGGCACATACCTAATGCTGCAGATACCCGATAATATTTAAAGATACTTTTTTAATTATAATACACTTTATTGTACATTAAACGTATTGACTGTTCAAATACATGTTGGTTATACAGCCATTAAACTTCGTAAAGGGGTCACTACGTATTTAAACAGTCTCAAATGTTGGTGTTTAATGTTTATTATTTATCACATAAATCAATAGTACTATTGAATATATATATATAATATTAAAGTTAATGATTTTTTTCTCGTATAATAAAACTATACTACACACACAACGAACGTGAAATACGAGTCGTTCGAATTCGCAATATCCATACGACCGTATCATATAAATTTAAAATAATTGGGTCAAATTATGAATGAAAAAAATGAATATAAATAATTCGTTGTACACACCTAATTTATAAATTAAAATTCGTCGGCCCGTCTGTTCTCTATATGGAAGAACGCTCACTACTTCTGAATCGGCTACTATGGATAATTCCAACGGGTTTATTTTGTAGTAGTCAGGATGGTTTTCTTTGAATTTGTAGTAATTAACGATCTGCAACAAAGAAATATAATAATAAGAACAAATTAATATAATCGATCAGTCACGGGTTACCTTATAATAATATACATATACCTTTATATCATATAATAACATTAATGCAACTAAAAATACTGGAAAAATATGCGATAACTCAAATTGTAAGGAATTTAATATAAAACTTAGCCAATACCTCGAGTGATCCTTAACTAAAATAGTTTATTATGGTATCGCGTAAATTGTTCATGCCAAAAATATTCGAATACGACAGTAGATTGTTCGTAAAAAAATTTAAATAATTTTAGGGGAATGTTTGTACGTATTATCTATTAAAATACGTTTAATTAATATAATTAATATTAATTATATTAATTATATTAAATATTAATTATATTAATTATATTAAATATTAATATAATATCAGCATTACTCAAAACAGGCGGAAGTAGCGATTAAACAACTATTACAAATTGTTAAAAAGTTTGGAGGGAAGAAAAAGAAGCCAACCATTTGAATATGTTAATTTTTGTGCCCTATTTACAAAAAAAGAGGTAATATTATAAACTGTAACAATTTAGGGACATCTCGTTTTAAGAAACATCATATAAAGTGCTATCAAATATCCTTTTTAATAAACAGAAGTCATATGGAAAAAAAAATAGTTGGATAATACCTCCTTGGGTTTCAAAAAAGGAGAATCAACGTTAGTTCAAATACATACTATCAAGTAAATTATAGAAAAATACTATGAATACAACCAAGATTTACTATTCTTGAAATGTTTGGATTATAAACAAGAGTACGAGTCTATTCTCTAGAAAATATATAGTATACGTATATTATATATATTAGGGTGTTTCAGAATTTTTTTTTCATCATTTTATTCTTCTCGTGATATTGTGTTCCTTAGAGCTTAATTAAGTTCCCACATTTTTTAAGATTTTTAAAGGTCGCAAGTATCGTTTTTATGGAAAAAGTTGAGTTTTTGTTTTTATTTTTTTAATATATAAATAATAATTTTATAGGCAAGATCTTTTGATTAAAAATCATCAGATAAAAAATACAAATACTCATATTTTTTTCAGATTAAGTAATCTAAATTTTACCACTCATTCAGGTCTTCAAATATACATTTTTTAATAATTTTTATAAACCAACCATCCTAACCACCCTTAAATATATTTTTTAGGGGTTGAACCTATTTTTTACTAATTCTCTATTTAGTTACAAAGAGAATGGTTACATTTGAAATCACATGAAATAAAAATTATTTTTATAATTACCTATTTATTTTATAAGTAAACTAGTTCTCTTACAGTAAAGAATATGGTATATATATGTACCTAAGTTTACAAAGTGAAAAGAAATAATTAAATATATAACAAATAAAATAATAATTATGAATATGAAATAAATAATAACTTTAATCACTATCAAATAATAGGTAATTAACAATTGTTATTATGGAATAAATAGTATGAAGAAAAATAAAAGTACGATATTAAAAAATTAAATTTTTATTTTTAACACAGATCAGAAAAAATATTGTGACGCATAGATAATCTTACAATTTTATATATTTATTTTGAAATAATTATAACTTTTTAAATTTAATTTAAAATTATTTTTCGCATTTGGTATTTTTATTTAATGCATTTCTACAACTTGTAGTAAATATTATTTTCGATTTTCTTGTTTTGTGAGAACTGGATTGAAATCTTACGCCAATACAATAGCTCATTCTATCAAATCATTGACTACATTCTACATTCCAACTTTGGACTGTCCTCTTAGCTTCAAATAATTCTGAATCGTTCTTCCAACTACTTAGATCTTTTTTCGTGAATTTCACAGAAATATTATTTGTTGTAAAAATTGAAAGACTATTCTCGCTAACAAAATCAATAACTGCTTGTTCAAAATAGTATTTTTGTCTACTTTAATTCGATGAACTTGATCAATTTTACCTTTTCGGTTTATAGCTGCGACAATTTCTCTCCTTTCTTCTATTAGTATACGAGAATTGAACAATAATAATCTTGAAAGCAACTCACTCAAATACTATAGTTGACCAGAAAATTTCTTAAACTCAAGTTCAGCTATTTTCTTGTTGACATTGTTGTATTGCACGAGATTTTTCAACAACTTTAAGTCATTTAATGTTGCGAGAATTGGATTCTGACAAGTGTACCAATTTTTTAAATAAACTCGAGCTATAAAAATATTGAATTGGCAAAGACCATTAATTTTTTTTGTCTTTAGTTGGAGCTGATTTTTGAAAATATATATTTTTAAACAATATATTATTTTTGCCATCCACCTACCCCGGTGATAAGTTCCTGGAGCATATATTACTATTGAGTTTTTAGCAGTTGTTTCTCCAAGAAATAACAGCATCAAAAATAGTAATTCTTTATAATAAGTATGTGGATGAAAAATGGATAACAGTAGCCCGAAAAAATTAATTAATTAATTTTTTTCCGTTGTTAGATGACATGAAATTGTCTTATCTTGCATTGCGCTATGATAAATTTCATGATCCAAATTATTCAAAGCCACGCTGAACTCTTGGAACAATGGGATATTTGGCCCACTTCTTGCTCCAGAAAGATAATCAAAAACTGAACCAGGAAGTAACTATCATATGGTGTCGACAAGCAAAAGAATAATGCTTCTTATCTATTTTTTCTTGTAATTTCATACAAGCTCCAAGAATTTTACTCGTGTTACTGGCTTTCGTATCGAAACACATGGAAGTTAATTGATTTAATAAACCCCAATTCTTGATAGACTCATAGACATCATTAGCTCTAGATTCCCCGGTTCCTGATGGGATTCCTGAGATTCCAAGTAGCTTGAAAATACCTCCACCAGAAATTGGTAAAAATTGCCAGTCGATTAACTTTTTTCTTGTTAGTCAAAGATTGCAGAATTTTACTGTCTCGATGTATTGTTAAATTTTATTCATTGTTATCATATTCAAATGATTTTTTTATTTCTTCAGAGACTTTTTGAGGTACTTCTAATCTTCTTCACCATATAGATGAAGCAGACCAGACAGCATTATTTATATATTCCTCTGTGTTATGTGATCCAAGAAAAGAACCGACAATGTATGTTACGTTTCTGTAGCTTGTCTTTGTGCGATCTAACGCCAAGCATATATCATTAGTTATCACGGGTTTTTTTTTAAATATTTTCTCTTGTTAATTCTTTCTGCGGGATATATGAATTATCTAATGAATAATAATCACTTAATTCAAGTTCACTCTCGTTGTTGTCATTATTACGATTGTCATCAATATATGTATTTTTTTTATATACATTTTCTTTGAATTTTTTTTTTTTTATTACGTAGAATATATTTTGTTTTATTTCCATCACCAATTTTTGTTGAGTATTTGAATGACTAAAATCAGATACACAGCTTAAAATATGTCAAAAATCGCTTCTTTTCTTTACTTGAAAATTAGAATTTAAAGACTTACTTTTTTTAAATTCTAAAAAAATTTGGAAACTTTATTAAGCTTTAAGGAACACAGTATCACGAGAAGAAGAATATCTGATAAAAAAATAAATTCTGAAACACCTTAATATATATAAAGTTTTTTTTATCAATCTTTTTTATATATACTGTAAAGATGTATTTTTTGTTAAATAATTTGAGAATATTTAGATTTTCTATGAAAGAAAAATTAATTATACTTTACAATATTGGTACTCCTATAGAATAATTATAATTAGTACTTGTCTTTTTTTATTGAAATATTATGCATGCGAGTATTTATAATGGTTGGTAATAATCGAGTTTTAAATAGCCAAGGCGTTTAAAGGAGACGATTATAAACTCTCTTGATTTTTACAACTGGTTAGTAGTTTTAGATTAATAATTATTGTAATAGTCCTTACGGTTAACTTTCTCTGGTATACAGTATACCTACTTCATTATTACTTATGGTCACTCTCTGGGTTTAAAACTAGGTTTATTTAAGGTAGGCAAATAAGTTAACTCTCTAGAACATCTTTCAAATATATTTGAATGCACAAAAACTGACTTGTAGAGAAAAATGAATTTTGACAAAATAGTTTGAATTAAAACACGATGATGCAAATAGTTAAATTATGAATATAGAATATTGTATTATTGTAATGTATTGAATATTATATTTCTTAATATAGTCAATAAGAAATAAAAATAAAAATAATAATAATTTATGAATTTTAAATTCGACTTAAACGCTGAGCAATACTAATTATTAAATGAGAATCAAATAGGCACTGATAAAAATAAATATCTATTTTATAAAACATGCATTCGTTGAAATGTAATTTGTTATATTTTATTATAATTAATTTGAAAAATACATTTAAATAACACGAGTTAACTATTTCGAATTTTATTAACGTTTATTTCTGACTTTCTGCACGAATTTTGCATAACTGTGTTGGTCGGTCGGTCACGCGCTCGATTATTGTTATTAATAAAAAAAAATAAAAAAAAACCGAACGGAATCGAATACCACGTGTATCAAAAAAATCCGAGGAATTTATTCGTAGATAATAAAGAAATGGATAGCCCACTCCTAAAACAAATGTAAGTGAGACAATGTTCCCGGAAGGGCAGTAAACTGAGCCGTTTTTTCATTTATCACTATATTGATAAAACGCCTCACTTTATCTCGTAGTGAATTTACTATACCCGTTCCTCTTGAAACACTCATGAGGTATGGATAAGGTATGGACTTATTCATATATTTATTACCTATGGTATTATTAATATATTTTGCATCTGCCTTTAGAATTATCTATACGTGTTTCATACGAACATAATATTATACCACTGCATAATTGGCGCACACTGCAACGAGCACAACCGACGCGACCGCAAGGCGCTAGGAACATAATATCAGTATAATGATATAATATTATTGATACATTACAGTATACAGTGTCGACGGGGACAAATATATATAATTTATAACGTTGCGAAATTGGCCTATAGGAGCCGCAGCAGTTCCGTATTGTTATACGTACAATATTATATTATGGGTTTATGGCTGAACTTTGATTGTAAACGAATTAAACAAATATAAAAATTACGAGTGTGAGTGGCGCGCGCGAGTATCATTCACTTAATAACTATTACGATTTCGCGCGCGCGATGTGAATGTGAAAGAAAAAGAAAAAAAAAATTGGTTTCGATTATTACAGTATCCTTGGCATGATAACAACCATGGGAGCAGGAGGAGGAGGCTCGCGCGAGCGGCGGCTTGCGCGCGCGTCTGCATAGAGAGAAAACGACACCTGTTACACGCGCAAAGAGACGGCCGCGAGTGTCGTAACAATAATAATAGTACCTACGCATTGTGCATTTGTGCCAGAACTGGACGCATGCACTGCACAATATTATTATTATTATTATTACCATTGTACGTACGGGGCATTATGTGTGTACGTATATGTTGGTGCGAGTTTTGATGTTTTTATTTTTCCTTTCCGACGAACGACGACGGCGGTGAAAGGAAAACGCCGCTACATACCGTACAATAATATAATATCGCAGAGGTTGTGTGCCCCGGTCCGCGCGTATTTACTATATAATAATAATAATAATAATAATGATAATAATGAATATTTTTACGATGCACAGTGCCCGCTGTCGAGAATTAATTTTTGTCCTCTTCTAAATGCGGGTCGGATGACTTTTTATTCTACTCCACGGCGGCGAAAGTATTTTCATATTATCAGTACCTATTATGATTATTATTCGCAGTGTAAACGAGTGGGTACCTAATATTTATCCACCGATTACAATAGCTAATATACCTGTATTTTACTAGATCATACTATTCAGTGACGTGCCCAAGAATTTTCAATGGGAGGGGATGTAACAAATAAAAATCGCGAATAAAGAGTAAAATCATCATCTCTTCCCAGATCGACTACCAAATCATCGACTACCATCGACAGCCACCACCAAAAAAAGTTGGTTTTTGATATCCAAAGCAGCTTTTAGAATAATTGGAAAAAACCAAAATATACGATTTTTTCAAATTTCTGCGTAACGATTTCATTTTTAAAAATGTTAAAGATTATATATTTCTACCAGAATTCTTTGACCAAATTTCTATAATAGCATATATTCTGAAAGCAATTTTAGTTTAGTTTAAAAAATCGTTGTTTGATTTTCTGTATAGTTTTCCTAATACTTAATTACGAAAAACCAGAAAAATCGTAGGAAATACAGCAAAGTGTACGGTATTTGAGTTTTTGTTATTATTCGATTAAAAATTATTGTAGAGATCTGTAGTTTTCACAAAATACTTATATTGGATTTTGTATACGTGATGAAATTTTTAAAACATTCTAATTTCTTTTAGGTTATTTATAGGTATTTTATACTTTCGTGTTTTCATATAATTATTATATGTGACTTAAGCAAAGTGTTTTAAAATTTAACGCTGGGTACATTACAAGTTGTACTTATTGGTACTTAGGATCTGAATTCTCCCCATTTTAAGAAAACATTATAAATGCATTACATTTTTGGATTTTATGGTTCATATTTCAAATGGATATTAAATGCATTCTTAAGGTTCTTAACCTAACCTAACCCACGGTCATTTAAAATAATACGTCCGTTTTCCAATTATTTTTTTATTTTGATTTCAAAATATTTAATCGTTTTTTAAATTAGAGAAAGTATTAAAATGTACTATAGTATTATACTATTATAGAACATTTTTTATTTCCTATTAAACTTGTGGTGTATGAAATAACATCGTGTAATTGATCCGCAGTAATTGATACCCCGATGATTGTTCTGTTTTTCGTTTTGTAACTATATTAATTTTACGTCAAATTAAAACATAATTTACAGTATTATAAGATAATTGAAATATTTTCTTGAAATCGACTTTTTAATCTTGCATCAAGTATAATTTTATGAAAGTTAAAGTTAAAAACATTTAATTAAAGTTTTCTTCTTCGCATTATATTATTTTTATATTCGTGAGAATATAATCATTACTTATATTATAATATTATCTTTCAAACAGCTATTTTCATTTTAAATGTATAACAAATATAAGTATGCGAATTATGTTATAATATTTCGTTTAGAGTGTACAAATAGTTTGTTATTAATATTTTTTAACAAAGTCACGGGCTTTAGGAATTTTGTATACGTTGAATCGTCCGACCTACTGAGTTTTGAAAGAATAATTAAATAATATTGCTGTAGATATAGAATAGTTGTTATAATATAAATATTTTATGTTTGAAATTTAAAAATATTCAGAATTACCAAACTATATGTATATTGCTCTGACTTTCAAAATTCAACTAAATATCAAACTGAAACGTTGAACTTGTTAGAAGGTTATTGGTTACCAACATAGATTGCGTTGTTCAATCATGAAAAATAATCACATGATTGAAATATTTTTCCTGTGTTATCAAATACGATAGTTACAAGATACCTTATTCTTGTAGGCTTGGTTGGCTACAATTTACATCTTGGCAAAACAAAAGAATAAATAAGAAATATCACTCAGAAGAATCGGTAAAATAAACATTAAGAGTACGTGATACCCGTATTTAATGTCTTAGTACAACTAACGGGCCACATAACACAAAAATTATTATGCAGAGTAGAACTCGATTAATTTTGGTTTTAGAGTAAAGAGACTAAAAGAGGACAATATTCGGGAAGGCATAAAATTGCGGGTGTTTGTCATCATTCCAAATATAACGCTCAGTTATAAGTGTACATTATTACTTTGATTAAGCGTCGCTGAATTTTGGAAGACACCATCATATTAATGTACACATTTATATGGCTAAATGTATTTTAGATTCTGAGTGGAGCGAGGAATGTATTGGTTTTACATTGATGTTTTTTTTTTTTTTCTGTGAACAACTTTTGTACCAAGAATTTTGCTTCAATTTACAATGATAGCACTTTTTCTGAAAGGAAATCGTACTCTGTAGGTACTTTAAAGTGGTCATTTTTTGATTTTCCCAGAAGTTTTCCCAATAAATGTAAAAAACCAGGAATAACGGAAGAAAAACAGAATAACAGGTACAATATTTAATCAATATTACTAAAGAAAATACATATATAATGAATATCTAATTATTTTACCATAATATGGCATATATATTGTTGATAAAGCAACACTATCAACCGCTCAGAATCGTTTTTTCGTTAACAATGTTTTATCGTTGCGTCACATCTTCTCAACTTCTCACCTACAACAGTGGCTGCACTTATTATCCTAGGACAACTTTTTAGTTTTAGTATGTAAGTTTTTTTTGTCCAAAGAATAGATTTTTATAATAAATTATACATACCTACATCGATATTTAAAAATAGTCGGTATGGTACGAATAGACAAATCAGAACAGGTAGAAATGTTTTCATTTTAAACTATGTGCATTATTACTTATTTATGGTATAACCATATACGATATAGTTATCAATTTTATTTAAAAAACAAATCCTGTAATATAGCGTGGTACTATTAAAAATATAATTTTATTAGGTTTTAAATGTTTTGATACTTGCTAGGCTACTACCTAACAAATGTTTACACAAAAAATATTAATTGTTTAAACATTATATACTTTTTGTATATATTACGTACTTATACGTGTTTAAATTTATAAATACACTGGTATCATTGTTAAATTCTTGGCATTATATTTTGAATGTATATATGATTGACTGTGTATACTGTGTGAATATTTGTGTAACATTAATTAAGAATGGTACGTTTAATATTTCAAATAACCTCGAATTACATTTATATATATGCGTATATACAAACTCGAGACTAAATATGATGAAATAATAAAAGTGTAATTTTTAAATAAAAATCTATTTACGTACTATTTACGAACATTAAAATAATATTAGCCTTTCATAGATGTAATAGATGTGAAATATATGTATTTAAACACTGATCAAAATATTATTTTGTGAAGTTAGACGAGGAGTATTATGACGTAATCAAATTTATTAAGCTAACGTTTGTTGTTTCATTTTATTTTAAAAAATAAATTCAAATAAGTTCAAATTTTATCAAATTGTTTAAATACTAAATTTTTACTGAAAAATCTGTAAAAAAAAAAAAAAAAAATGATTATATAGATACCTACGAGTATATCAGATTTTATTTAGAGAAACTGTCATTAAGAGGACGCTGTATGCTGTTTTCGTCTTACAAACGTACGAAATGGCAAATTTGCGTTCACGGACAATTTTGTGCTGTTACAGGTACATAATATAAGAGTGAATTGACCTATTATAAAATATTAAGATAAGATTTTATTTCATATAAAAATTAAAATACTGTAAAAATTGTCAACATTGCATAGATAATATTATTATCTTTAAATTTTAAAATATATCAATTCACTCCGATATTAAAACGAACAGTACAAAGCTGTTCCGCGTAAACGCAAATTTGTTATATCGTACATTTTTGTAAGACGAAGATTTAATATGCAGGTATAGTGTCCTCTTAAATGCTGAGTGATTTCATGTGATTTTATAAAATATGTATGTTTTGACTGCTTAAAATACCGGGTAGGTATAGGAATCGACAAATCGTTTATGATTACTCGAGAAATACATTTAGGTACTATATTATATTATATGTGTACAGTCATTGGAAACAATGAACTATATACGAACCTCGTATAAGGTATGATGCTCGTCATACCTATGACGAGCATCGTGGTATTATTTTAGTAATACCTATGTGACAATAACGTTAGAAAAAAATAATCTAATTTGCATTGTAACTAGGATTTCTCAATGGAAGGAGAGGGAATATAACCAAAATTATATTTGTATGTTAAGTTAAATTCCTTTATAACGTGTAATAAAAAGCACGACAAATGGGGGATATCCTCCTTCTAATATGAGAATATTGAGGATAAACCTCATCCTCCTTTCCTTTGTGCACGCTGATACCTTGGCTGTTTTGGGGAAACAACTGCATAAAAACCGGAATGACGATATACCGTTATGCCTGTACCGTAAATTTTATTAATATTTAATGACGTCCGAGGTAAACGAGTGCACACCATAGATAATATAATGTATTATCCTTGGTGTACACAAGCTTCAAAATGATAATACCGGAATACCGTGAAAAAATAGGTACCTATATACAGGGTTGTACAATATAAAATATACATTACATAAACTAAAAAAAAGATATAACAAACAAATGAACATTTTATATTGCCCAACTCTGTCTTTACACTTATTGAAATACAAACAAAAATATTATACGCAAGTACGAGCGGTGGCGAAACCAGGGGGATGTTTTGGGTGTCTAGACATCCAATCTGTTTCGATCCATGTTTAAGTAATATAAATTCATTGAAGTACATTACAAATGTGTTTTTAGATTCTGAGTGGAAAGAAGAAGCTTACAGTTTTACAATTATTTTTTTTTATCTGTGTGCAACTTTTCTACCAGAAAACTTGCTCGGATTTCTACATGTAGTACCTTTTCTGAAAAGAAATCGGAATGAGGTATTTTATGGAAGTCATTTTTCGATGAGTTTTCTTATCAAATACATAAAAACCGAAAGAAAGTGAAAATTTACGAAATATAATAAATATAATATTATAATTTTTTGTGCACAACTTTTCTATCAGTAATTTTGCTGCAACTTTTAATGATAACAATGTTTCTAAAAGGAAATTCTACTAGTGGGGTATTTTAAAGAGGTCATTTTTTGATTTTCCCAAGAGTTTTCCCAGTAAATGGAAAAAACATAAATAAAACAAAGGAAAACCGGAAAAAACGTTACAACATTAAACATCTTTTATTATAATATATAAAGCCTATTTAATTTTTTTACTATAAAATGATATATACATTTTGACAAAGCATCACTATCAACTGAACTTCGCTTAGAATCGTTTTTTCGTAAGCAATAGTTTATCGTTCCTTACAAATATACATTTAATTCCCGTCTAAATCCTACCTTCCTAACTTTACACTTACACCTGTGGCTGCACCCGTTCCCATTATCTTACCTTTTTTTTTTGTTATTAAATATAGACATGTGACACCTCTCTTCAAAAAATCCTCTTTGCGTCACTGAATACGAAATAAACGCACTTGGTAACTCCAGGTGTGCGTCATGGTCAAGCGAATAATTCTTCACCGACTCATCACATTGCAGGAAGGTACGAACAAATATACCATTATTATATTTCATATTTATTTATATATACCAGTGTACTCGAATAAATGTAATGTAATCAGCGATCTACTAATTACAAATCGTCTAATTCGGACATTCTTTTTTTATCATCTTCTATATGTTTCACCGTCGGCTCCGAGTACGTTATAAACACTGCGCAAGCGTAATACTTATACAAAAATAATAACATATAATATTATCGCACGCTCATCTACTATACTGTAATCTGGTAGCGTTGAACTCTATACCGGGTCACGGCCTCTATACTATGCATGCAGTATAAGCAGTTTAAATTTTTTCAGGCATATAATAATAATAATAACATTACGAGTAAAAAAGAAAAGTAAGATAATGAGGACGGGTGCAGCCACTGGTGTAGGTGGAAAGTTAGGGAGAGGTAGGATATAGATAGAAATTTATGTACATCTGTTAACAACGTTAAACCATTGCTTATTTGAGCGGAGTTCAGTTAATAGTGATGCTTTGTCAAAAATATATGTTATTTTGTTGTAAAATAATTAAATAGATTTTATATATTTTTTTTAATAAAATTTGTTTAATGTTGTACCTATTTTCTCAGTTTTCCCATGTTTTATCCCGGTTTTTCACATTTTCTGGGAAAAATCTTTGGGAAATAAAAAAAATGACAACTTAAAAGTACCTCGCTAGTGAAATTTCCTTTTAATAACATTGTTATCATTAAAATTTGAAGTAAAATTGCTGGTAGAAAAGTTGTGCACAAAAAAAAAAAAATCGTAATATTATATTTATTATCTTACGTAAATTTCCCGGTTTTTCGCATTTGATGAGAAAACTATCGAAAAATAACCTTCGTAAAGTATCTCTCCATTTCGATTTCCTTTCAGAAAAGATGCTACACGTAGAAATTGAAGCAAGTCTTCTAGTAGAAAAGTTGTGCACAGATTAAAAAAAAAAATAAACATCTTTATAAAACTATAAGCTTCTTCGTTCCTCTGAGAATCTAAAATAATGCTTAAATTATATCAATATAGTATTAGTGCTGCTGTTGCCTTGTATTTTAATGCCACCGTCATATGGTTTTAGTCAATTTAAATAAATCCATAAAATATAATTATTTATACTGTCTAAAGCTCAATAAACTCTATTAAAATATCCACATACGGCACGCGTTTTAAAAATTTTTTTTAAAGTCTTTGAAAACATCCTGCCGAACAAAGTCAATATTCCTGATTTCATTGTTCACAGAATCACAGCTACCCCCGTCCAGTTCAAATGTCAACTTTCCTCTTCTAAAATACTAGAAAGTCCTGTTTTTACTATCTTCCCGACGAAGTTTTAGTCTCCCTAGTAGGCTTTTGCCTCTTGGATTTTACTGGTGTATTTTATTAATCACGGATTCTTACTTCGTCTATTTATAAAATGCTAACAATTTCGAAAATTAATTTTCACCGGGTTTTCTACATTATATAGGTTATTGTAATAAAATATTATTCCGAAGATTACATTTTAATAAATATGCGAAATAATTTCCGTTGTCCCAAATTCATTTGTTTTTCGTCTTTACAGTGTGGCGAAAACCGGAAACGCAATTTTTTTTCCTATTTAAAATCAAAAATATTTATCAACGTTACACACGTGTGTTGGTCCTCGTATTGTAGGCAAATCGAAAAAAAAATCTCTCTATTCTATAAGCACCACCATGTTCGATGTGGCGTGTATTGCGCTTGCAACGTTATTATAGAGAGGTTAACCAACGGAGATTTGAAAGCACTATATTTCATTATGTTTGTATTATAACGGTATCGTGTAGTATAATAATATTCGTCGTTTTCATTGGTCGCGCGTTATGTAGTTCTAACTTTTAAGTGATTTTTATGAACAAACATAATATACCTTCGCGGACCGATATGCCGACCGCGTGATATTTTCACCATATAAAAATATCGTCGTCACAAAGAAGTTTTGTACCTATTCGATTTTGGCACATTGCGCAGACGTAGAGGGTGATTCTTGTACCGCAATCTAGCGATTTTTTCGAAAGATTTCAAATAAAAATAATTTGATTTCCTTTTTTTTTCTTTCCAATCATTGTTCAAACTTTACTTTAACACTATTTTAAAATTGTCATCACTATTCTCTAAACACCTTAAATTCGATAAATGTATTAATTGTACTTTTCTACTCCATCATAATATAACAATGGTAACGGATCATGATGAAAGAATCACCCTGTATGCATTATATTATATTATATTCAGGTAGTGAATATATTATGATTTGTGTAAAAACAAATCGAATCGAATGAAGTTTACAAAAAATTAATAATATCTTATATAGGTATCTACACTGCAAGTAAAAGCAGTCGTGAAATTTAATGCCACCCATCATTATGAATTCAGTATATACCTACCTAATAATTATGTTTTATCCTTGTTATTTATTTATTTTTGTATTATATGGCTGTTTTCCAAACAGGTCACACAATACAAATACACGGGTATCACGGCGATTAGACTGTAATAATATGTAATAGTATATATTTTATCGGTATAGATACGGAGCACAATATTACGATATTGTGTAAATGCATTTATAAAATATGTATAACGCATACATTGAACGTGTGTGTGTAAAGGTGCAAATGCATCGAACGAAAGTTCATATAAATTGAACGTCTTTATAAATGCAGCAATTGTTATTGTTTTGGTGGCACGGCGAAAACACTTTTTCATAATATACGATTTCATAGGTATAATTATAATTATCATTGTAATCAAAACCTACATAGAATAATTGTAGAGTACGCAGTTTAAATTGTTAATTGATGTATTTCGGTACACGTTTATCTACATAATATATATAGAAAAAAAAATAAAACAACGCATAAATACGTAACTGGAATAATAATAACAGGCGTAGGATTAGTGCGTCATCGTAACAATAATACAAATCATTGTTTTAGTTTTGTTTTTTTCCTTCTTATAAAGAACCAAACGAAAATTGTATCAATTACCGTCGACCCGTTTGTGTTCCGCAGATTCTCTCATTAGTATTGCGTTGTGGTTTTCCTTGAAATCGAGCTTTGATAAACGCGTATAATATTGTAATATTGCATGTATTCATCGCGGGTAAATAAAATTATTTTCCTATATCGTGTTTTTTTAAAAATTATTTTTGTTTATCGATGTTATTATTTTCTGTCCGTCGCATTGATATACGTCTAAAAAGGGTGCCTAATTTGACTTCAATATTATATTTTTAATATTATTCGAAAACCCCGAGTCTGTTCATGTCGTTCATGACCCATAATACCTGTATTACTTACAGAAATATACGAATAATACGAACTTAAACGACCGTGAATTGACATAACGTTTATTATTTATATATATAAAATATATTATTATATTGAATAGTTATATTCACACTATGTCACATAAATTTCACCGTTATTATCGAATATTATATCATATTGGTACCTATACATGCTATGTTATTTGCTGACCGTAAAGAATTCAATTTAATATCATAGAAAAGTGATCAAAATAAATTCGACATGTCGAATATTATGGTGAAATCGTGGTTCGCGCGTACCTAATGCTATTACCGGTTCTTTTATATATATATATATATATATATAAATTACCGTGCAGTTTATTATATTGTCTTGGGTTACAACGATTTTTCTCAATAAATTGTATTAAAATAAAAGTATAAAAAAAAATAATAATAAAAAACAAAACAAAACTTGTCCGTAAGAAAACACGTATAAGTACAGTTTAAATTCCTATATACATGTTGAGTGCATGATTTTGAAATAAAAACAAAAATCATTTTTAAAACTTAACGCAATATACGAGCAGTTAGAAAAATATAGAAAAGAACGTTACGTAATTTTTTTTACTATACATTATTATGTACCTATTATTTATATTCTAGTGAGTGTGACCAATTTGTTTCAATAACCAATACGTAATATAAGAGTGTTGTTCTAGGTACATAGTAAAAAAAAAAAAGCTGATATTAGGGACGGATGTGCCATTGTTTTAGTTGAGAAGACGGGAATGTAAGATACATAAAGTTATTAATTTATATCCGTAAACAACGATAAACCATTGCTAACTAAAAACGATTCTGAGCGAAGTTCGGTTACAAATGTTTAAAAAAACTATAATATTTACGATTTTCGTCAAAATTTTATTTTAAAAACTTGTAAAAAGAATTAAAAAATGCTACATTGCACTCAAATTTATTTTTCAGACAAATTACAAGTACAACTTACAATGTACCTTTTATTAAAATTTCAATAATTTCACTTAGGTCATATAATTTTAATAACAGAATACTTACTAAATAAAAATAGCGTAAAAAGGACTTCCTAGGATAATGGGGACGGGTACAGCTATTGTTATAGGTAATTTAATCTATACCTGTTAGCAACGATTAACCATTGCTAACGAAAAAACGATTCTGAGCGGAGTTTAGTTGATAATGATGCTTTGTCAACAATATATATATATGTTATTTTATGTTAAAATAATTAATTAATTAAATATCTTTAACAATATATTTTTAATGTACCGATTTTCCCATGTTTTATTCCGGTCTTTCACATTTTCTGGGAAAATTCTTGGGAAAATCAAAAAATTACCTCTCTAGGAAAATTTCCTTTAAAGAACATTGCTTTCATTAAAAGTTGGAGCAAAATTTCTGGTTGAAAAGTTCTACAAAGGAAAAAAACTTGTAATATTTTAGTAATATATTTCGTACATTTTCATTTTTTTTTTTTTTGGTTTTTCAAATTTTATGAGAAAACTCTTGAGAAAATCGAAAAATGGCTTCCTTAAAGTACCTCCTTACACAGATTTCCTTTCCTAAAAGGTGCTACACTTAGATATCCAGGCAAGTCTTCTGGTAGAAAAATTGCTAATAAATAAAAAAAAAATAAAATAAACATCTTTGTAAAACCATTAGCTTTTTCGTTCCACTCAGAATTTAAGGCTTTCAAAATTAAAATTTGTATAAATAGCTCAAAAATGGCTCAAATGTTTTGAAAATTTTACTATGTCCAGGAAAATCAAATATAAATTCTCTGTTAAAATTTCAAGCCTTTACAAATATGTTCAACTGAATTAAATTTAAAATATTCAAAACATTATTTTTGTAAATCTCCCCGTTTTTTCTACGGATTTTCGATTTTACTCAATTATTAAAAAAACTACTCGGAACATAAAAATCGACTTTCTTGATGAGCGTCCAGATTAAAAATGTAACACAAAAGTTTTTTTGTCGTTTCTATATTGGAACAATATTTCTGGTAGAAAAAATACTTTGAAAAAATTAAAAACAATGAAATCGGTAATACTACGACGTACCGTATTTTTAAACCCAAAAAACAACTCTAAAAATCAAAAACCAACTTGACTAATGCACCAACTAGATACAATTTTTTTTCAAAAAGGTGCTACACTTATGCTCTGTTACATCAGATCAAGATTTCTGATAGAAAAGTGGTTCACAGAACAAAATAATAAATAATAATAAAACACATCATCGTAAAATTAATAGATCCCTAGCTACGCTCCGAATCTAAAAGTCAGACATAAGATACTTCGCCATGATTTTCCGTAGTTAGCATATAGGGAAATTAAGTCTGTAAACTATTAATAACGATACATTTTTACAATAAAAAAAAAAAAAAAAAAACGATTCTGAGTGGAGCTCGGTGAATTGATATTTCTGTAAGTAATAGCCATGGTTTTCCCTTGTGACACAGGTAACCTGGAAACTAAAGAAAAATACAACCAATATGTATCGGTCATTTGTTGCCGGTGTTTTTAAAAAAACTATTAGTAACCTAGATATTTATTTCAAATAAAGTACCATCGGGCAAACATCCGCATCTTTTCAAATAAAGTAGGTATGGTATACAAATCGATATATTTTTTTTAATCGAAAATGTGTTTTCCAAGAGAGAATAACACATCTTAGTAAAACTATAGTTAAAATTTAATATAGTTTCTCCGCTATTAAATTAACGGTCGTCTCGTTCAACAAAAGATTTCGTAAATCTAAATCGTGACCAGTGTACTTATATAGAGTAAGAGTATATAAGAGTACGTAATATACTAGACGGAAGTGTTGGAACGAAACGAATTTTTACCCTATTTGATAGGAAGGTAGTAATAATATAATAAATAACCGAGGCACATCCTTCATAAAAGTTGCGCACTCTGATGGCAATAAGTCAATAATAACGCACATGCTGCCGATTCGATCATTTCGGTATTACGAGTGATGTACTGTGTGTGGCACAAGTGTAGCAAAACTGAATTTGTTCTGTTATTAGTGACATATTTATACTCTCTCTCTTTCTCAAAAAAACTAAAAAATAATAACTATCCACGTAACAATACGGTCGGAAAAAATATATTTTTCTCGGATATATACTATATATAAATTATATGGTACGAATTCGTCGATGAAATAATAAAACGAAAATATCGAGTAAACGAAATACCTTCAAATATTTCAATCTTTAAAACACTAAAACAATTCAATTATTAACATTATTTTCTTTTCGAGTTCATTACAAACGGAAAAATTTCTACACGTATACCAAATCAAAGACTCGTCGACTGACTTGATGAAAAACTATCGTTTGTTGTCGACGTTATTAATAAAAAACACAAACGCAGATTACTTAAATAAATTCTTACAACGCGCCCACGACGTAATGCTATAATAAAATATAGCGCGGACTTTTTGATTAATAAATTCTTAACGGGATGATGTTTACCGTCCTGGATATTTTTTTTTCATTATTTAAGAGGACGCCACACCGACATCTACTGTCTCCGTCTTATGTTCAGTAGGATACATTTTGTGCCATTTGTTTTAATATTAATGCAAATTAACTTGTTACAAAACTTAAAGATAAGAAGATTACTATTGATATTTTTATTTTCCAATGAGATATGAGTACCTATGTTAAATATCACATTTTAAAAATGATTATATCTTCCTTATAAATTAAAATATTGAAATACCATCAACGCTAGGGCACGTATAATCTTCTAACCTTTAAGTTTGATAATAAATTAATTTGCTTTAATAATAAAACTAACGGCACAAAATGTGTCCTACTGAATGTAAATTTGCTAGGTCTCGCGTTTGTAAGACAGAGACAGTAGATGTCAGTGCGGCCTCCTCTTAAGAAAACTGTTGGGTGGGTAATTATTATTTCAATATATTTTTACAAAACAAAATCCCTATACGGTACATAATTTACAAAATAAAAATGAATGTTCGTTCGTTCGTGATCCATACATTCAAAAACTACGGACCCAAATGACACCAAATTTTGTACACAATATTATATTCCTCGAAACTGGAGGATGGTCTGTTTTTTTCAACCCAATACTATAGAGTGACTCACACATATATTTAATTTTGGCTCACGAATATTTTTTTTTTTTTATGTAGGGTTGCGGTTGATTATGGACAATAAAATCATTATGATTAGATGTAAGCTATTCTATTTAAAATGTAACATTGTTCTTAGTAACGAGAAATCTCAGAAATCAGTGGACTGTTAATAATACAGTATACGGGCAATAAAGGTTAACCGCAGTGATAATCACGGGTATAGAAATGGGAAATCGCAAGAAAACATGGTTTTTTTTTACATTGTTTGTCGTTTAATACTGACACTGGTAGAGCTGTGTGGGATAGCTAGACACGGACTTTAAAAACAATTTTGAATTCTGTATGAAATTTACATACTATTGTCCGATTAAATTTTTCTAGTTTAATTTCAGTTTCTTATTTCCAAAAATTATATTAAAAAATATATAAAAAATTACGAATTAATAATGAAAAAAAAATGTCTAAACTGCTATTCTGTGTGTGTGTTAGACAAAGGAAGAAAATAGGAATATCTAATTCCCTTAAGAGTCCTAATAATTGACTTCATAAATTGTGAGTATTTAAAATTATTAACAAGCCTTCAAAAATCATACCAAATTATTTAATCCGTTTCGATGAATATATTAAGGTATCTGCGCACGATCTATTTCTTTGTTGAAAACTTATGCTACATGAAAAACTCGAACGTCTCGTTTTTTCTGTTGAATAGAAGACGATTTTCTAATTGTGCATCGGGCTTCAATTTTTGATTATGAAATTAAGAAGTACTAAAAAAAGTTATAATTATATAGTTTAAAAGCATAATTTTTAAAATCTAAGTTCAACAAATCATAAAAGACGTTTCTTTCTTTCCAATGAAACAAAAATGAACGAAACCGGACTACTCTAAGAACGAAAGTTTTTCCGGTGAAGTATGATTTTTAGCAAAAAAATTAGGTCATCAGACCCCCTAATAATAATTTACAATATTAATCCGAATTAATTTGATACGATGTTGAGATATTTATTCTTTTTTATACAGGTACCTATTCAGATTCGATTGAAGAATTACATTATTTTTTTCAAACATTTTTTTTTATATTAATTTCTTGTAAAGGTAAAATTATTTTATATTTTTATTAAGATATTATTTTTACAATTTACGCAATTGATTTACTGTTTTAAATTTATGTAATATAGCATTTTCATTTGAAATTAATATAATTTGATTCGTGTTTTATATCAAAACTCTTTAGTTAGTACGAATTTGTATTTAATAAACACATGTTAAAACTATATATAATAAAATAAGTCAGATGAATTGTGAATATAAGGATTTTAAAACTTTATAGAGACGAGATTAGAATGACACTTCTGCTGATAATAATTTTATTCGAAATTAAAATTGTGTTTTTTTTCATTATTTCCATTGCAAGAACATCCCTTATTTTATGTATATTTATAATATATTATATATACACATTGCATTCAAATTATTAAAAACACACCGTTAATGCATTTAAAATCAATACGGAGCATTAGGTTAGTATTTTGTTTGCGTGTTTTACCTTTTTAATAATTCAAAAATAAGCGAATAGGTGAATTTTTGTATGTATTTCTATACTTCGAAATGTGGTGTGTGGTTTTTATATTACATTTACTATCCAAGCATGCAGTTAAGATGTGTACGTGATGCAGGATAATTTAATTGATTTTATAGTTACGTAACATCTATTCTGTCACTTGACAATAATAGTTTGTAAGAAGTTATTTTTGAAGTTATTGATTAGTTTTCTAAATAAAACCACTTACTAGTTGATACGTTGGAAGAAGTTTGAAATGTCGAGCTCTTAAAAACCTCAGTAAAAACTTTTCATCCATTCTGTGTGGTATGATATCGCCTTTCTCTAGAAATAACACGAACAAAAAAATACAAATAAGTTTTACATCAATTTTAAATAAGGTGTGGATATGCAAATCAAAACCGCATGACTATACGACATGAAATATATTATACAAATAATTAATCTGAAAATTAACATTATTCTTCAATTTGTTTACGAAGAAAAATATTAATAAGTTATATAAAAGTTGATAAAAGTTAATCATTATCATGAATTATGCATGTGCGTAGGTATAATTTTCGTTCTATTTATATACCACAGACATAAATGTTTAACTATTTATTGTGTATTTTAGATTTTTAATATGCGTAAAATGTTTTTGTCTATTGAAAAATTATTTTGAGTTCCGATGATTAAAATAAAATGTATCAAAACAATCAGAATATAGGTAGCTGATAAATAGGTACTAATAAATATATGTATTTTTTTTTTTGAATACATGTTCAGACGATAAAAACTTTATTGTCTGTAAAATCATTATTTAACGTCCGTAAAAATAAACGAAATTTTTACTGTAACATCCGTGACAAACTATAGACATCGTAATACTCGTAATTCAGTGAAGGTTTTATGGAAGATAGGCGAAAGGCGGATAAAATTCCATCTCGTAGCTTTTTACAATTTTTTTTAACTATTAATTATATTACAAAAATTGTCATATGTAATATTGCTGTATGTGATATAGATTAAATATGTTATTGATTAATTTTATTTTTATTATTTCTGAAGTATAAAAAAAAAAGACGGATATAGTTCGCATGATGTACTGTGCTACTAGTAGGTGATAAGTTGAGAATGTAGGATATAGAAGAACATTTTATTTATAACAATACGCAACGATAAACTATAGCTAACGAAAAACAATTCGAAGCGAAGTTTATTTTATACATGTAGGTACGTACATTTTCCAATTTTTTCTATGATTTCCCAGTTGTTTCAAACTATTATGAAAACTACTTGGAAATTCAAAAAAGTTTTCGTTAAAATTTGATCTTATATCGCTTATAGAAAAAAACCTAATGTATTAAAGTCAAACTTGTTTTTTAGACCACTAAGTACAACTTCTAATGTACCTTGTGTTAAATTTGTAATCATTTTTCTTAAGTCATATAATTACATGAAAACACGAAAATACCAAATAAATAAATGGCCTGAAAATATTTGTCATATTGCCTAGGTTTTTTCGATTTTCGGTAATTATTAGGAAAACTATACAGAAAATCAAACAACGACTTTCTTACTCACAAATAAGAAAAAATTTTCTTTCAGAAAATATTCTTAAAAATTGTACAAAGATTTCTGATAGAAAAATAAAACTTTTTAAATAATGAAATTATTGCGCCGTAATTTAAAAAAACTATATTTTCCGTATTTTTTGGGTTTTCCCAATTATTATGAAATTTAAAAGGAAAATCAAAAAAATTACCAATATACTAACTGTTCACAATTTGCTTTCAGAAAAGATACTATAACTATTTAAAAATCGGGGAAAGATTTATGATAGCTGTTTACAGAATAAAAAAAAAACATATAGTAACACCAACAGATTCCTCGCTGTGTTTAGAATCTAAGCATAGAAATACTTTTTGGACGTTTGTTTATGTGGGGGATTTTGAAATTGTAACTAATTTCACCTTCCCTTTCTCGTTGAACTTCAAATATAACTACCATTAATATAATAATATAGATATTATTAACCAAGGCTATAATAATATACTTTTGATGCAAGTTTCGATGTAACCCACTATCTAAAAAGAGTGAATATTGTGAATATTAATTTGAACGCGATGCGAATTTATCAAAAAACAAGAATTTGTTAGCTTTGGAGATCAAGAACATTAATATTTGCCAAATATAAATTTTAAAAAAACCGGTTATTATACATAAATACAAGTGAAGTGATCGTTGAGTTTTATTATAAACTATGGACACTATAGATATATTATTCGTGTTTTAATACACGTCGTTATGGACAAGTAACCCGAAACGGCTATTGAGTCACCGAAACGTAACCGTTTGAATTTACATAAAATTAGAACTGAAATAATGTGGCTTTTTGCTAAATAATTACCGATTTTACTTGTAATGATTTTTACTTGACGGATATTAGATCTACGGTTTTTATTTGATGATAGGTAATAGATATATAATATATACAGTGGCGAACTTAATTTAAATTTCAAATGACGCCATTTAATATTTCAGTATCTACCAACACCATCTATTAGTGACAAAGCTCATAGATTTATGCGACTATACCTTCTACCCCCACAGTTTTCCAATTTTTCATGATAAAAACGAAAATAATTCTTTATAGGAAATTTTTAAAGTAGCTAATAAGATTTGAATTTGATAATAAAACTTTTGTGTACATACAATACTACTGTTTATAACGATATCCATTGTTTGATGAAAATTAATATAATTATTGTCATAAAGAAATTTCATGCTCATAAAATATCAAACTAAAATATATTAATTATATTATATGTTTTACCTACACAAAAATGTGAAAATGAGAATCATTTTAGCTAACGATCTCTGGGACCCTTTATCCAATCGTTATGCGATTTTTCTAAAAGAAAGAGTACATTGCAGAGTAGATTCTTCAAGTTAATAAACAATCAAGTTATTAATTTGTATAAATATTTATCTACACAAATGAGAACCATTGTTGATAATGATCTCTGGGACTACTCAATCAATTGTCATACAGTTTTTACAGTATTAACTAGAATTTTGCAAGTTAAAACGAATTCGTATATTTTAATAATAATATGATGTTTGTCCAAGTATTTTAATAAACTGAACCGTACGTATGAGTTCCTACTGAGTAAACAATATTCAATGTAAAACTAAAAACAAAACAAAAATAATAATAATGTTTAAAAAAACACCACGTAATAAGATACCCAATTAAAATAGCATGCGTATAGACATTTTGTTTTAAAACTAAATATCAGCGATTTGGATCGGGTATAAGTGTACTGAAGTATGTATAATTAGATACGTTATATTATTATTATAATCTAACTATTTAAAATGATAATTTCAAGTCAAATAAATCAATCAAATACTGTAATAATTGAAAACAGCTATAACTATATATTGGTATAGCGTTTTCCAAAAAATATAACGAGTTCCGACGGGAGAGATAAGTTTTTAACAAAATTATTCTTTGGAAACTTTAGATCTCTATCTACGATTGTTTTTAACCGAATTAAAATAGAAAAGAAAAAAAAAACAGGAAATATTTAATGAAATCGTTATTGCCGTAAACTATCCCGGCAATTTTCTAATTATTAAGAAAACTGCATGGAAAACCCGCCGATGTACCTACTAATTAGACGACACTTTATTTCAGGAAAGACACTACATTTGAAAATTGGAGTGATATTTCTGATGGAAAAGTTGTTTACATAACACGAAAAAAAAAAAAAAAAAAAAATTAAAAACCGCACACGTCACAGTAAAACCTGCAATATAGCTGGTATACGTTCCCGGCTGCGCGGCTCAGGATCTAAAACGATTAGGAGGCACCTGCACTCGTACACCGTACGATGATTGTGTATTAATATGCCATAATACGACACGGGAAATAATAACAATACACGCTCACCGTATATCATGTCCTCGAGTTCGGCCAACAGTTTGGTCCGGGACTCCTCGGTCTCGCCGAGTCGGACCCGGGCGTACTCCAGCACGTCGTCCGGCGTCGACTCCAAGTCCAGGTCGGCCAGCACGTCGGGGTATTCGACGTCCGTGCCGACGGGATAGTCGCCGGAGGAGAGGATATGTCCGTTGCCGGACAGTATTAGCTGCGGCATTCTCGATCGGCCGTCCGACGGTGATAATACCGTAACGGTAAATACTATAACCGGTCAGGTGTCTAATTACAATATCGTGTCGCCGCAATGGTTGTAGCGGCGTCCGCGCCGTCGCTATTTACCGCGTATTCGTGCCGTCCGTCCGTAGGATACGCGTACGACGCTCGCTCGGATATCGAATACAACAACGGCGTGCCGGACTAATATTTATTATTATATATTTTTATTGCGCGAGCGGTACGTCCACAAGTGCGACAACGACGACACGCGGGGGCCCGTACGTATACAATTATCGTTGCGTTATACACTGTCAATGTCGTCCGTTTATTATTATTTTTTTTTTTTCCTACCCGATTCCGTTTCGGCCGAAGGCCGTGCGTCTCGGTCGAAAACGAGTATCTCTATGTCGCCAACGCTCCGACACCGCGTACCGGTGTGTGATTATTTATGACGGCGGCGCGCGGAGAAAAACAGATTTACCGTTGGAAATATCTCGACTATCAGGCGATACGAGTTATCACGCGCGTCCAAATAGCACGAACGGTGAACGTCTGGCGGCGACCGTCGGCTGGCTAATGGCTGCGCGGAACGTCGGCGACTGGCGGCCGACAACATGTGCCGTTTTCGGCGCAGGCTGCCCCGTCGCCGTCGTCGCGTTCCCGCCACGACTTGCATCATAACCACGCGTTGCATAACGCGCGTAACGGGCCGGCGAGACCATTATGATTATGATTGTGATTATTATTATTCGTGTATTACAATATTATGCGATATGTATTATTTCTTTTTCATTACGACAATAATATTATTATTAATATAAAATATCTAATACGCCTCATAATGACAACGATAAAAAGACGTCGTAGGATAATGGAGACGGCCGCAGCCACTGTTACAGGTAATTACACCTGTAATTTATGTACACCTGTAAGCGACGATAAACTATTACGAAATAACGATTCTGAGCGCGATTCAGTTGATAGTGATGCTTTTTCAACAATATATACATATATATATATATATATGTGTGTGTGTCATATTATGTAAAATAATTAAATAGACATTATATATTTTATTTAATAATATTTGTTTCAAAACTGTACCGATTTTCCCAGTTTTCCTATGTTTTTCCCGGATTATCATATTTGCTAAGAAAACTCTTGGAAAAATCGAAAAATTACCTCCCTAAAGTACTTTCCCAGTAAGATTTACTTTCAGAAAAAGTGCTATCATTGTAAATCAGAGCGAAATTGCTGGTAGAAAAATTATACACAGAAAAAAAAAGGCCATCATATCTTTTTACTAATACCTACACCTCGTAAATTTTCCGTTTTTCCGAAATTTATTCTCGGTTTTTCCAAGATATTATGAAAGTCGCTTGAAAAATCAAATAACGACCCCTTAAATTACCATTGAGATAAAATTTTCTTTCAGAAAACAAGCTACACTTGATACATCGGATCAAGATTTCTGGTCGAAAAGTTTGCACAACAAATCAAGGTGTATTTTGCGAATAAAATAGTCTGAAGGAGCGATGGCTAGGTATCTAGGTACATCCAAATGCATTTGTTTTTGTAAAAAGGAAAAAAAATTCAAACAATTTTTTTCGTGGTTTGAACACGGAACCCCTAGGATGATAATATGCGTAAATAACCATTAGATCATGACAAATGAGAAGGATAATATAGAGTTATTTAACATAAATATGAAATATTTGCATAATATCTGAACTTTAAAAAGCTATAATTTTGAAACTTAGTCAGTCCACTCAATTCTGACTTTACTATCATTTTTAAATGGGCAATATATGGTACTTATGTTCACAAAGAAAAAAAAAAATTGAAAAATTAGATTTGTTCCTCATAATTTTTTACTCAAACAATTTTCGTCAAAATGTAATATCAAAATTCCTTTTTAAAAACAAATACTACGTTAAACTCAATTTTTTTTTCAACCACAAAGCAAAATTAATGAACCTTCTGTTAAATTGTCTACCATTTCTGTTGAGTAAACAATTTGACCACAGAGTACCTGCCAAATGAAAATTACGTGCAAAACTCGCAAAATTTAAATGTCTATAAATAGCTAAAAAATGGCTTGAATTTTTTGAAAGTTTTACCACATTTAAAAAAGGCAAAAATTAAATTGTCTATCCTAATTTGAAGTCTCTACGAATATTTTTAACTGAATTCCAACAAATAACAAAATTGATAAAATAATAAAATCATCGATTTCGTAAATTTCCCGTTTTTCTTACGTTTTATCCTAGTTTTTCCCTGATATTATGAAAACTGCTTGGAAAACCAAAAAATGATCTCCCAAAAGTGCCATCTGGAGAACATTCCCTTTCAGAAATAATGCCGCGTGTATATATATCTGAGCAATATTTATGGTCGAATTTTTGTACACAGGATAAAAAAAAAATAAACATCTTAGTAAAACCAATACATTCTTCGCTACACTCAGAATCTAAAATAGACAACAAAAAAGAAACTTTATAATGTTATATTTATTATGATTTCATCTCAACGTTCGTTTATATTCTATACCGATAAAGGTATATTCACACATATGCGATCCGGGTCCACTCCGAGTCCATTCCGTCAGGGCATCGGTGTTTTAAGAAATATGAACTACTTGTTTGTCAATGGATGTATTCATACACGTTCGATCCGAATCTGTTCCGAGTTTTCTGAGTTCTCTCCGATCAAAAAAATATTTTCGGTGACCGATTTTTTGTCCGAACTCGGACGATTAAACACGCTCAAAATAGATACAAATATAAGTGGTTATTATTACTGATGTTCAAAAATAATATCTTAATTTTTGAACCCTTACAAATTACATGTGCTTAAAATAATGCAATTGACCTCTAATGTACTGACCCGGAAAAATGTGCTACAAGAAACCACCATCCCTGATGTTGATGTTCGAAGCGAGATGACTCGGCTGAGGCCGGTTTCCGGGGATTGAAACAAGTGTCTTTCGCCTGCCGAGCGATTGCTCTACCACTGAGCTACCTGTCAGTGGCGGTTTTAGGAGGAGAGACGATAGGGGCGATAGCCCTTTTCTTGGCTCTTTTTGTATTACACATTACGTAAACAGATACCTATACTAGTGATGGAAATCCAAAAATCCGGATTTTTCAAAAAAACGCTATTTAAGCCCCTTGAAAATCTTATAAATATTAAATATTGTTACAATATAAAGCTGTGCACCTAAGTTGAATTTTTAGATAAAATTTCTTCAAATATATGCTTTCGGATTTCGGATCCCGGATTTTCGAATTTCAATAAATCCAATAGCAGTTTAATGTTTTGGTATTAATGTGTTTTATTTTTAAATTTTCATAAAAAAATATTTTACTTAGGTCCACAGCTTTATATTGTACAAATATTTAACACTATATGATTTTTAAGTGGCTTAAATTGCTGTTTTTGTGAAAATTCGGATTTTCGGATTCCCATCACTAACCTATACAAATAATGTTTATTGATTGATTCATTGTTTGAATATTTATTAATAATTTTTTTTTTTAGTTATATAACTTTGATAGTTAAATAGTAAATTTATAGATTGTCAATTTTATTGTTTTTCTGGTGCACAGTCTTAAACGATAAGGTGCGCAATCTGTCTATCAATTCACCGCATTAACCTCTGGTAACCATTACAACCGTAGTGATCAAGACTATGTTAACAAGATTATACAGATATAACGGTTAAAATACAAGTGGATGAAAAGGCCTATGATGAGCATCGAATTAAATGAAAGATTCAAACTTAACTTATGGTTAACATGGTTAACAATCTAGCTACATTTGGTATACAATGAAGTTTCAGAAGTGATCAAAGAATATGGTTTTATTATAAACCTGCCTCGAAAAAGTATAGGTACACGTTAGAATCATAGACCTAACCCACCATGTACTTCTGAAAACTATAATATACATTCCATTACTTGATAATATTATTGAAGCCATAAAGGAACGATTCATCAAAATAAAAAATAAACCACTATTGGCTTTAACGGCACTCATACCAATTTATTTAAAATATTTAACCTCAAATAAAATGTAAGTATTAATTGAAATTACATTAATTGAATTTGAGTATTACTTCAATGTACAAAAAGATGTTCTTCAAAAAAAGAAATATCGATTTTATACTTTAATAATAAGAATTTTTTAATTACATATTCATAATAATTCATAATATTCGTTTTCGAAAGCAAAATGTTGTTACCTAGTTTAAATTATTTACGTATTTATTTATTTTATGTTATTCATTAATACATGTGTCGTAAGTATTGGTTAGGTTGGTGGAGTTACAGCTTGATGTTGTAATTTGAGATAGGTATACACTTGAAGGAGGGGATTCACATTTGAAGTCATCCCAAATGGCGGATATCCTAGCAATTATAAAGGGGAGCTTTATAGGGTGATCTGAAAATATGTTAGGGGATATGCTCCCAATCTCCTCATAATCGCCCCCTCTTTAAAGGTTGGTCAAAACTGCTACTGCTATCCTCCAGTACCTGTCTTCTAACATTATTTTCATTGGATTTGAAAAAAAATGTGTTTAGAGACACTGTTAATCGTCTTAGTATAAAACATTTATCGCTTTGCTCAGATACTAGAAAAAATAAAAATATAATAAAACTAATTTTAACACGTGTTGCAATGGATATATCATCATGCTATAGCATTGAATAGAAATGGGGTGCTATGCTATAGCAGCATTCATGTCCATCGACATGTTAAATTCTGAATTCTACTACTTTAAATCATTTTCAAGAACGGTGAGGTGTTATTGCTGAAAAGCTTTGTATTCTTTGTAGTTTATAAGAAAGCATTTAATTCAAAATTATCCTACATTCCTATCATGTCTTTTAAATAGGTACCTGATACAAAAGTGAATAGAAAATGACTCATACGTATTAATAACAAGTTCAACGATTTACCTTAATATTTTAAAATATTATATTGCCTACCTATTTATTGATAATCTTTAATTTTGTTTATGTAGTGGATATGATATCGTTTAGAAATACTATAAAATATGATCTAAATGTGAATATTTTGAATCGTGATTATATTATTTATCATACATATTACATATAAATGATTAACTTGTATCTATTTTCTATTATACTATCAAGCATATATGGCCGCCGTATTAACATTAAACAGAACAAATTGTATATTCGAATTACGCAACTTTCCTATCATTATTATAATAATAGAACACTAACCTTGAGAACTATTCAATTTTGTTAGAAATCCAACGTACCTATACGATATGCATTTAAAATATTGTTTTAAATATTATTTATTAATATATGAACCTTACCTTACTTAATGCCTTATCATTTTTTAAGGATTAAAATCAAATTTATTACAAACAATTCTTTTGAAAACCGTAGGTAACCATTGTTGTTAATGTTCGTTTTAAAAAAAAAAAATTGTATTGTCTCTAGCTATTGTGTTTAGCGTGGATAGACATTCTAAGTACCTACCTACTATATTTTCATAATATAATTACAAATTATAATTAATCTAATTAATTGCTTTGTTCGAAACGCTAACTGTTTTATAAATTTGGTTTTTTATTACTTTTTCCAAAATCGTTTAGCTCCTTACAGAAGTCACAAATCCCTGTGCTATATTGGGTTAATAATTAAAATATAATATTAGTATATTACCTAACACTAAAATCTGAACTATTGAAAAAATGAAAACTTAATAAGCCATTAAAAGGAAATAAATAGGTGATTTGGATAAATTTCCGTTTTAGTTTTTATCGGTTATGTATCATAATTATTAATAACAACGTGTTATACAAAATAAAATATTTTAAAAATGATTTTCAATAAACGACAATGTTACAATGAGTAGTAAAACCATAAACTTCTTCGGTCCACTCAGAATCTAAAACTAATACCTTTCTTCAACGGACACCTATTTATAATGCACACTATTAATAGTCCCGTGAGCGTCTGTTATAGACTTATAGACAGGTTTTCTGTATTATGTTGATAATAAACAATGCATGTTCGAAAATAATTTGATTATAGAAAGTACTTTTTTAATTGTTAAAATATTATTGTTTAAAGAAATTGTGACTTAATTTTCGATGCATATTATAATATAAGTGTGCAAGAATGCCAAGAATGAAAATTAATTAAACTTTATGATGCTTTATCTTTTAAAATAGTATTGTGATTTTAATCTAATAGTAATATTTTAATTTCATTGGATTATTCGTTTTTAATTTTTATCAATATAAGTAATGTTGTTAAATAAAATGGACAGCTATATAAAATTTATATTATATATTATTATTATTATTAGGTATACTAAATACTCGTATATGCAATTATGTTTTATAATTAGGTATACCTGATATTTTTTTTTATTTTTTTAATACAAGATACACGACGGGTTATTTCAATACTAGGTATATGGAAATACTTATCAAATCAACAAATTTATAGGCTATTTCTGTAATGAAGGAGGACACTATTATTATAAGCGTACTCACTGGAGTGGCGTAGTGATGATATTTTGAAATTTTAAATCTTTAAAACTTGGATTTTTTTTCAAGTTTTTACCTAGTAAAATATAATCTGAAATCTAAAAATAACGTAATACTTGAATGATATTCCATGCAAAATGCTCATACAAATAACGTATCGCATGGTTTTTGCGTTTTTCACGCTCGAGATACCAGAAAAATAAAATGTAGTGTGATCAGTGACATATTTATGGGAGACAAAAGGGGCTTGAGCACCGGATATTAAAATTTTATGGGCAATGCATTTGATATAATATCATATAACCTACCTAACAACAGTTATCAGACAGTTGTCATCATGATCGGTTGTTTTTCGTTATGCAAGGTGCGTTATCTTATCTGTTAGAATGCAGTGCAGTATCTGTAAAATTGCTAATAATAGTGTTTCTAATCCAAAGTGTGAAAAAAGCCTAACAGCTAATCTTACAGTAAGGAAAAAATATGTTGAAACTAAAAGTGTTGAAAATGTTAGTTTGGACAGTTTGGCCGACATTAATAATGGTATTTCTTCAGTTTTAATTAAAATTAAAGAGCTTACTTCTGTGGTTGATGTGGTTGAGACTTTAGTCACATTTTGTTCGAATAAAATTGATGCATTCGATGCTAAGCTTGAAAGTCTTAATCTAAAGATTATTTCGTTTGATAAGCGGTTAGTTGTATTAGACGAGAAGTATAATAAATTACAATTAGAAATTGATAATCTTAATTCAAACGCTAATATACTTTTATTTTCTCACTAACAATATTGAAATATCTGGTATCCTATATCCAACAAATTAATATTTAATTGATATTTGAACTAGTTTAACAAGCAATCTGAACATAAATTTAAATGTTGCGTATGTGATCAATATTTACAGAATTAAAGCTTCCAAGGATAGACTAAATAGAATTATTGTTTATTTTATTAATAAAAATATAAACAAGAACTGTTATTAGGAATTAAAACATTGTACAGATCCGGAAGCACTTTTATAGCTCACAGCATTCACTAACTATTTCCTATCTACCAGTAATAGAAAATTTGTATGGTTAGCCAAGTTGGTTTTCAAGCAATATGGATATAAGTTTGTATAAGCCAACACCAGTGGTGTTTTCTTGAAACAAAATAAACATACTTTTAATAGTCTAATTTTTGTTTTGACCAATGATTTCTTTTTTGTTTCAGCAAACTTTTTTCTGGAGCAAGACACTATAAAGAATAAATTATTTTGAGAAACAAAAGTAAACGTATTGTTTTATAAGTATATTATACTTTCATTAAACTAACTTGATATAAACTTGTTTTCTATACAAAATATTGCCAAAATCCAACGAATTCAAAGGTTTTCAAAATTTAAATTGGACGGTTAGTATTGGTTGAATTATACTTCAGCTTTTGATACGCTTAAAGCTGCGTTAAAGTGAACACTTTTTTATTCAAGTAATTCGTTGTCCAATAATTTTCTACAAATTCGATTTTGTTCATTGGATATTTTTTTTTGATTTTCATGTACATTACAAGTATATACTTAGTCTCCCCAAATATAAAATATAAAATATTTATTATTATAGTAATAATAATATTATATGAACACATATTTAATTGTTTGTAGAATATTTTACTTTTATTTTGGCCTATAGACAAGAAACTCGGGTTCGATGAAGTCTAATTGCTAACGAACAAGTTTGAGAATGCATTTTCGGTGGAGAGGGGAAAACAGACTTTTTCCTTTCCTATAGGCACCTGACTACTTAGATAAAAAATCGCAAGTGACCGTGATACAAACCTACGATCAGTTCATAATCTAATTACTAATAATACGTCAGACGTTTTCCCGTTATGTAGGTTCCAAACACCCAGTTATTTCATATAAAAGTATTTAAAAATAAATTATAACTTTCATAATGATATTAATTTTAATTTTAGTTTTAACTACATTATAGTAAAATATGTGTCATGAATTCATGAGAGTATATTACTTTTAAGTGTCAGGTGATAATCGTGATTGTCTGGTAATTTTAATGTTAGAATGAATTGATCTATTAACAAATTTTTAGAGAGTAACATTATCTTTGTCTATATGATGATTTTTCGTTGATTTTATTTTTAAGTGACTAACGAGCGTGGAAAGTATCACAATTTAAAAATGCTAATATACGAGGTCTAATCAAAAATTATCGAGACTGATAAGATAAATCGTAAACCTGTTTGAGTATGAACTTGCACGTGCTATATTAATCAAAGTTTGTATGTTGGGAAAATATATTAGGCATAGATTAAATTAAAATTGTCTCAGTCGGCTTCTAGGTGCGATTAAGTAAAGTGTGTTTTTACGTCCTGTCGGATTTCATTATGAGCGAAAATATTGAACAACGAGTGTGCATTGAATTTTGCCATAAACTGGGAAAAACGGCTACTGAAACCTACCAAATATTATTGTTAGCTTATGGAGATGAAACCATGTCCCGTGCTCGCGTTTTTGAATGGTTCAAACGATTTAAAGAGGGTAGAACAACTGTTGAGAGTGATGAACGTGAAGGACGCCCGTCAACAAGCCGCAATGAGGAAATGGTTCAAAAAATACGAACAGCAATACGAGGTAA